TGTGCCACTGTGCACAGGCTATTTTATAGCGCTATTCCTTATAAATTTTATTTAATTTTCTTTTATGTGTGTTGGCGTTTTGTCTGAATTCATGCCTATGTGAGGGTGTCCAATCCCTTGGTGCTGTAGTTTGACAGTCGTGAACCGCTGTGTGGTTGCTGGGAATTGAACTGGAGTCCTCTGGAAGAGCAGCCCCCCACTCTTAACCACTGAGCCATTTCTCCTGCATTTTGGAAAATCGCAGAGGCCAACACATCCAGAGTGCAATGGATAAGCCTAGCTGTAAGAAAACCTCCTTCGTGATCATGGTGTCTCCCCTGCCAGGTAAGTATGCTATTTTTTTCTTTTTCTTTTTTTTTTTAGATTTATTTATTTATTATGTATACAACATTCTACCTCCATGCATCCCTGCAGGCCAGAAGAGGGCACCAGATCTCATTACAGATGGTTGTGAGCCACCATGTGGTTGCTGGGAATTGAACTCAGGACCTCTGGAAGAGCAGCCAGTGCCCTCAACCACTGAGCCATCTCTCCAGCCCTAAGTATGCTATTTTTAAAATATGTGTGGGATATGTAAATTTTAGGAAAAGAGAAGCCTTTTTTTCCTATTGTACAGCTTGTCTTTACATTAATCACCACTAGGTGGCAGTAATGCCTCCCTAGGCAATAAGAGGCTTGAAGACATTTGGGAAAATAGGAGCTCAAAGAACTTGAGGTCAAATGGTTAAGCTTACTGGTTGAGGCTAAAGAACGTGAGTTATCAAACCAGCTGAATGGCGAGACTGAAACAAAAGGGAGGACATGATTACTCCGAAGGGGTGAAAGTGAAGGTTTATTATAGATACGAGGAAGAACACAGACAGAGGCAGAGGAATCTGGAAGAGTTCACAGTGAACGGGACTGGCTGACTGAGCCGGACCATGCCAGGAGAACGGGAGCGGGAAAGGGAGAGAGGGAACCAGGAGCAACAGCAGCCAAGAGGGTCAGAGAGCAAAAGGGCCGAGTAGCCAAAATGTTTGTGTTACATAGGGAAGAGCATCTGAGGGGGGGCAACCCAGCCCCTGGGCCGGGGAAGTTTAGGGTAGGGGACAGGGAATGCCATCCAGGAGGACTCTGAAACAGGCAGGGGCTAAGAACAGCACACATGGGCTTATGTCTTCCCCATCTGGTCCTCCCTGAGTCCTAGGGAAGTTAGAAAAGCTATTCTTAATGTTCTGGAGCATGTAGTACCTGTTTGTCTCACTTCTGATTGGTTTCCTGCAGGGTACAGTTTGTGGTTTTCCTGGTTATTGTAATGGTGAGGCCTGGTCCAAGTGTGGTCAGCCTGCAGCCTGTCATGGCCTCACTGATGCTAAGTTAGGCCTCTTCACAGACCACATCTGGCCACCAAAGGCCAACACTGTCCTATGTGGTAGCTGAAGATTTAATGTTGTCCCATATTGACAGCAAAAGTCCTACAACCACTGCCCCCAATGGGGCCATCAAGACCACCCGAGTCTAAGGCAACCATGTAGGTAATGGGTCTCTGTCAATTTAACTGATACACAGGCCATTCAGAGTATGGTTCCTGCCACAATTTATCCTTTTCAGTTCTTTGGTTGGGTTGATGGCTAACTATAACTTCATCAATGCAGCAACTACCACACATTAAAAAAAAAAAACAGGCCTTACTTTTCTAGAGCTTTTAGGTCACTTGATAAAAAAAGAAAAACTCACAGACAGCTTTGCATTACTACCAGGCTCCATATTAAAGGTAAAGAGGTTTCAGATATAACTTTTACTATTTAAGGAACTTGTTTTGCAAATACTGTTACAACAATGGCATTGAAGGACGTGGTGGCACACGCCCTTAATCTCAGCATTTGGGAGCCAGAGGCAGGTGGATCTCTATGAGTTCGAGGCCAGTTTGGTCTACAGAGTGAGTTCCAGGACTCTGTTACACAGAGAAAAACCAGTCTCAGGAAAAAAAAAAAAAACTACTCCTCCCTCCCACAAAACACAAACAAAAAGCAAAACAACGGTATTGTAAGCTTCATGGAGTGAAAAAAAAAAACCCATAAGACTTGGATCCACCTCTCACAGGTCAAATGGACTCCAGATAAATGCCCTGTCAATCAAAAGTCTAAGGTCCCCTGCTTCCTGTGATTCCAGCGGTGGGGAAGCTCCACATCTAAGTTTCCCTTTAATTCATTCACTTTAACTGCTGTCCCTGTGTGGATCTGTCTTGGCAGAGTTCCACTAAGCTGGTAGACACCATCCAGAAATCACCTTCGAACTCACAACACCTCCAAATGCGATCTACATCACCCAGGTAGTCCTATGAAACTGGAACCCCGAACTTGCTGAAAGCTGATGCGAACCAGTCTAGTCCATGTGGTTGCTCCCTGTCTCTTCAGCTGGGTCAGCAAACCGGAGGCTTCTGATGAATGCCCCATTGCCCACATGCCCTCCTGGTTGTTGGCTGATATTCCAGCATTCCTGGGCCCTGAAAAGGCCATCCTAGTTTCAGCCGGAGGTAGTTACAGAGGAGAATACATCACCCCTTGTCTTCAACAAAGGGCTGGAATATTAGGTCTAAGGAAATTTGCTGGTAAAGGGGACAAAATGGCTACCTATAAGTATACCAAGATTTTGAGACATTAACATTTGTTCTTTTTATGCCAACCAAAAGGTACAATTTGTAGATGAGCAATGCATCAAAAGATTTTTGTTTCCCCCCAGATAAAGAATGCTTAGACCCTATCAAGGGTTTGCCAGGGACACATAAGACAAGGAGGAAATGAAGAAACAGGCTGTCTCCATCTTAGGCTTAAAAGTCATCTAATTGTAAAGGCAAACTAGGTTCACGCCTGCTTATGATTAAACCTCTCTTTCTCAAAGATAGGACTATGTTCTGCCTGTAACTTTTTTCTTCAGTTTCTTGAGACAGGGTTTCTCTGTGCAACTGCTGTGGCTGTCCTGAAACTCACTCTTGTAGACCAGGTTGACCAGGTTGGCCTTGGATTTAAGAAGATCCGGAGACCCGCCTGCCTCTGCCTGGATTAAAGTGCCGGGATTAAAGGCGTGAGTCCCCACCACCGGGCCACACCTTAACTACAAATGGCTCTGTATGCCTGTTCCAGGAATGGCCATCATGTCTTTCTTTCTTTCTTTCTTTCTTTCTTTCTTTCTTTCTTTCTTTCTTTCTTTCTTTTTTTTTTTTTTTTGAGAAAGGGTTTCTCTATAGCCTTGGTGCCTGTCCTGGAACTAGCTATTGTAGACCAGGCTGGCCTCGAACTCACAGAGATCCACCTGCCTCTGCCTCCCGAGTGCTGGGATTAAAGGCGTGTGCCACCACCGCCCAGCTCGATCAAGTCTTTCTTTCATGGTTTATAACCATGTTGCACCCCCATCTTATCTACTACTTTCTCTGCTCTGGACTCTTCCAGATGCATCTGGATGTTTTCATCTTCCTATCTACAATAAAAGAACCTGCTTGCTGGGCAGTGGTGGTGCACGCCTTTAATCCCAGCACTCAGGAGGTAGAGGCAGGCGGATCTCTGTGAATTCGAGGCCAGACTGGTCTACAAGAGCTAGTTCCAGGACAGCTAGGACTGTTACACAGAGAAACCCTGTCTCGAGAAACCAAAAAAGAAAGGAAGAACAAAACCTTCTGCTTAACCATAACTTGGAGCAGTTACGTCATCAGTCTCAGTGCTGGAGATGGAGTCCAGGACCCTGTACAAGCACCGTGCCCTGAATTGTATTTGGTGGTGGGGCACAAGTGTGCAAACAGCTGCAACCAAGCCAGTGTGTTACAATGTTGAGACGCTGCGTGTTTGTGAACAGGCAAGCCCAGGCCTCCGTACGGTGGTGCAGAGACGTGGCAGGAACGCAAACATGCGTGGCCAGGCCACCAGGTGGTGGCATGGGGACATGGAGGGCATATGAACAGGCATGCTCTCACAGCCACGTGACAGTGCCGGGACGATGACTGAGTGTAAACAGGCGTGCCCAGGCCACCACTGGTGACATTCAGTTACAGCAGGCATGAGAAAGTGCAAGCCTAGCCGCCAACCGGCACACATGAGACGCTGCTGACAGAAGAGTGTGGAACTCCAGAGCTCAGCCTGTTCATCTTGAACAAGTAAGAAAGAAGGGCCTACAAAGGGTGGTCTCACCTAGGTCCTGCAGGGCTCCTGTTCTCCCTCTTCAGTACTCATTTTTCCAACTGCACAGAATGCTGGTGGCTGATGAAACAGGGCTGGGCCCCTCGCCAGGAATGTCGCTTGTGTGAAGACAGCCCAGGAAATCAGGACAGGAAGCATGCACCTGATCAAGCGGTTCCACTGCACTGAGCCCCACGTCTGACACCTGCTGAGCTTCATCACACCCAGCACACAAACTTCAGACCTGTGAGAATCAGTTGCAACAGGCTAGGGGTGATGCGCACACACCCGGTGTACCGTATAGTAATCGGTAAGGATGTGCATGTGTCAGTTCGCCCACAGTTTACCCTCAAGGAGATGGCCAAGGGCTCGTGGCTTCCCCAGGGCAGGTAGCTGAGCTTTGACTAGAAAAAGCAGCCTTGTGCCTTCAGCATTCCCAAGCCTTTACCTCTAAAGAGACTGCTAACAACACTAAGACACAGGACAATCGTGGTAAAGACGGCCAGGACTTGGATTTGTGTTCCTACTGCAAGTAGTTACCTTGTGATTTATTGACCTACAGTTTCATACATGTATATAAGACATTTTGATCCTCTTCACCCATTTACCCCTCTCATTCCCACAACTGCCAAATAACCATTTCTCTAAATAATAAATAATCCAGAAAATGTGCTTGAAGGGGGGAAGTTAAGGAGCAGGAGCCCTGAAGATAGGGCCAACTGTGACGGTTTGCATAGGTGCGAAGAGCTTGAGACAGGGTCTCATTGCAGTCCAGAGGGGCTCAGTACTAAGCCGCGTAGATCTCTTGCGCAGCCGCAAATCGCTCGGAGAGGAAGGGCATGGTCCTGAGCGGAAAAGCAAGGCCCCAGAACGGAAGTAGCGGGAACTCGGAGGCGGCCGGAACGGGGACCAGTGAGAACGCGGGACTAGCCGGAGCCCGGAAGTGCGGACTAACTCTGCGGTCGTTCCGGAAGCTCAGGTCTCAGCATGGCTTTGGGAGGAAAGGCACCCAAGAGGAAGAAGGGCCAGGAGCGGAGGTGAGCGGCGCGCGGCGTTGGCGTGGGTGCGGGGTGGCGAGTGGCTCGCGGCCTGGTAGAGACTGTGCCTGTGTTTGCAGACAGAGCCCTGAAGATGGCGTGGGGGACGCGGCCGCCGACTACCAGGTGGGACAGGTCGCCGACAGCCTGCGGGGCGGCCAGAGACTTTCCGAAGGCGCGACGGGGAGGCTGGCCGCTCTCTTCAGCGCCGCGGAGTCACAGGCTGCACCCGTGTTTGTGCCTGTGCCCCAGGTGAGTCCCCGGACTGCGGCTTGAGTGTCCCTTAGAGCTAGGCGTAGAGGGTAACTCGCCTGACAGCATCAGCTGTCCGCCCCGGAGCAAGGCAAGCCTTTCACCCCCAGCCCTGTTTATTGGTTGACAGGGTTTGTTGGTTGACAAGAGATTGTAGCTGTTCAGGCCTCAGATTCTGTAATGTACCCGAGGACGGTCGTCCTCCAGCTTCTTCAGTGCTTAGATTACAGGACTGCTCCATCATATCTGACTTTACTTTTTAGTTTGAGAAAGGGTCTCACTAGTTTCCCAGATTGACTTTTAGCACACACTGTAGCCCAGATGCCATACTGCAGCCTCAACTTTGCACTGAAAAGTGGAATCACAGGTGTGTGTGTGACCAAGCCCATCAAATCTGGGTTCACGACTAATGATTGTCAAGAATTCTCTGCTTCTCTTTAACCAGTGAGGAAGAAGTAGTATCGATTTAGAAAGAGCACAGTGTTGCTCAGGGATTTGGAGACGAGGACTTTGCTATGTAGCCCTGGTTGGCCTGGCATACCCCCTACCACCTCCACATCCTGATGGCTGGAGTTACCAGCATAGGCCACAACACAGTCATAGGGTCGGAGTTCTTAACAGCTTGACGTATTAAGTGTGACTTGAAACTCTTGAAAGGAAACTCCTAAGAAAAGAAAACCCGATGCTGAAGAAGAAAGTACGTCCCAGATTAAAAGGCCACCTGTGCCAACCCCTGCCAAAAGGATGAAAGTGAAGAAACTCTCTGATGCAGAGGAGAGGCTGGCAAGCAGGTTGGTGAAGTTCTCCTTCTTACTGGGTTAACTACATCAGGCGGTTTTGAAAAATTAATGTTCATCTTAATTTTTTCTTATTGCATAGTTCTCAGATTAAAAAAATACATTATATAAAGTCTCATAGTATAGACAGCTAAAAAATACAAAGACCCCGTTTATCCAAAGTGAACAGCCTTTCAGGTCTTTCCTTTCCATCTCTGACTCTTGTTATTTCTGGGCCGTCCTTGGTAGGTCTTTACCCCATGACTGTAACCCTGTGGTTTCTGTCTTCAATATTTCAGGTGGCTATCAAACATGAATTTGGTTTTTCATGTGGAAACCAGATTTCCATCATTAGCTTGAACTTTTTTTTTATAGAATATTTGAGTTAGTATCCAGATAGCCACACCAGTACTACTTTTCCAGTTATTGTTTCTCGCTGTTTTGGGGAGGTGAGGTAGGGCAGGGGTTTCCTTCCTTTCTTCCTTTTTCTTTTCTTTTAAGATTTATTATGTATACAGTGCTCTGTCTGCAAGTGTGCCTGCTGGCCAGAAGAGGGCACCAGTTCTCATTACAGGTGGTTGTGAGCCACCTTGTGGTTGCAGGACTGGCTTTGTCAGCTGCTGTTGTTTTGTTTTTGACTCTTTTCTTTGATTGTTCCTTAAAAACTAGGGAGAGTGCCCTAGCAAGTGCTGACCTAGAAGAAGAGCTTCATCAAGGGCAGGAAAGGAGAAAGTCTCAATCTCGTGGTAAAGCAGCAGGTGGAGAAACACTTGGTGTGGCCCTCAGCCACGATGGAGACCAAAGAAGAAAAATCCCACTCAACCCTGAAGAAGAGCGGTTGAAAAACGAGAGGACTGTGTTTGTCGGCAACTTGCCTGTCACATGTAATAAGAAGGTGAGCGCTAGGGGCAGTTTAAACCTAGGGGAGTTTACTCCCCTAGGCTGAGGTCACTTTTTTATTGAGCTAATGATTGATAACTCGCTGCCATAGCTTCGCCGTGCTTCCTGCTCACCACACCATAGATGATTATGGTGCCGACACCTCCTTGATCCTAGAGTCACAGACACAATCTGGGCTGTGTGTTTGTGTATGTGTGTGGTCTAATTCAGGCTTCTGAAGGTCATGTTTGAAGCAGCAGTAGCTTTTTCCTGGCTTTTTTCTCTTCTGCTTCCTTCCTGTTAACGCCTCTAGAATGTAAACTGGATCGTTCTCTTCACTGCTCTGTTGGAGCACAGGAGAGGACGCCTGACACAGCACAGGCTCAGTGATGTCTGCTGTGTGGAAGAGTGAGCACCCAAGTGCCTTTCGTGCTGCAGGCTTCACTGAAGCCGTACCTTTGCCTTCTATGAACATGTGGTTGGTCATCACTACCTGAGCAATCCTCAGGCTCAAATCCTGCTCACCTTTGGAAGGATGGGTTTATAGTCTCCTTCCTTAAAAGCAGCCTAGGAAACACTGACTTTTATTCTGTCCCCTAGTGTTTGATTCATAAAGATATCATGTACTATCTTTTTAAAAAACCTTTTTAGATTTGTTTCATGTGTATGAATATTTTGCCTACGTGTATGTATGTGTACTAATATGTGCCTGTGGTGGTCAGAAGAAGTAATAATCAGATCCCCCGGAAGGTGGAGTAACATGATTGTGAGCTGCCATTTGGGTGCTGGGAGCCAAACCCAGGTTCCCTGTAACAAGGGCTCTTAACCACTGAGTCATCTCCCCAGTTCTCCTTTCTGTTTGTGAGACAAGATGTCTTAATGTCTTCACTCTGGCTTCTAACTCACGGCAGTCCTTCTGCCTCCACCCCCAAAGTGCTAGGGTAAGACACCAGCCCAGTCGTCTTTTGTCAGTTTGGTACACGTCTCCCTGAATCACCCTGCCTTGGCCTCCTGTATACATTTTGTTGTTGGTTATGATCTCCCTTTTATGTCATAAGAACTCAAAGGAAAGGTGCTCTGCAAAAATATTCCTACGTTTTAAGTTAGAATTAGTTGTAGAGATTATTGTCCTACCCCTTAAAAATGTATGTTCTTGAGACTGGGATTCTCTTGAAGTAGTGTTCTGAAGTAAACAGTTGGCAGATTTCCCTGTGGGTCAGCATCATTAAAAGGCAGTTTGGGTTAGCCAGTGTAAAAAGATCCGAGAATGTGTGCAAGACACAAATCTGACCTCGGTTTAAGTGTCTCACAGACTGTAAGCATTGGCGCCTACAGCTAGCACCGGCCATGAGTAGATGCTAATGTCAACTTCTCCCCAAGTTTCTGTAAACTCTTCTTGTCCATCCCGCTGAGTAGTCACCTGCTTTTCTGATGTGCTCTTTGGATTTTAGATGCCAGATGTGAACACTAATCTCGCTTCCACTTTGTGTTTCTAGTGCTGGGATAAGAGACGTAGACTACTATAGTTGGTTCTGGAATGTTCTCAAAGTGTAGCAGTGAACATAGATGTTCAAGGTATTAACTAACATGTATGTGTTTATTGTTTATTTTAGAAGCTGAAGTCATTCTTTAAAGAGTATGGACAGATAGAATCCGTACGATTTCGTTCTGTGGTAAGTGTCTTCTCCCCCTGAAAAATGCATGTCACTGCGCTTTATCTGTAAATCAAAACTGACGGCCTCATGGTGCCCAGTGTCTGCTACGCTCAGATGATTGTCTCTGCTGTCAGTAGACAGAAAGGTTGCTCCTCACCAGGCGGTCTCCTTCAAACTGCAGCTAGCCTGACTTGTGTTGTGTAAACAGAGATTTTCGTCGGGACCACCAGCTTCCCGATAGCCACACTGAGACTTATTATTAACCATAAATGCTTGACCAGTAGTTTAGTCTTGTTACTAACCAGCCCTGACAACTTACCGCGTATGTTTAATTTATGCTCTGCCACATGGTGGTACCTTTTTTTCAGCCCGGCATATTCATCTTGCCTCTCTATGCATCTCCTGGCAACTCCATCCTTCTTCCCAGAGTCCTCTCAATTTGGCCGTCTGCCTGACATCTTTCTGCCTAGTTATCGGCCAGTCAGTTCTTATTAATCCAATCAGAAGGCACCTTGGCAAAGACATATCTTCACAGACTTACAAAAAAATTATTCCAAAATAGTGTGCAGTAGATGAGTGTGACTGTTACAGGCAATGCTTAGGCACTTGTAGAAGGCATTGGTATCCACTTTCATTCTCAACCAATTATGCTAGCGTTCTCAGGATGAAATACACAGTATAGTTTCTGTTTCTGTTTGCTTCCTCCCACTGTCCTGGAACTCTAACTACATAGACCAGGCTGGTCTAGAATTCACAGAAATCCATCTGCTTCACCTCCTGAGTGCTGGAATTAAAGCTGAAGTCATCACAACCAGTGATGTGTATTTTAATATTTCCAGTATAGTTAGCATGCACAGGTAGTGTTTACCTTCTTCCTAGTTATTCTTTCTTACATGATTCTCTCAGGGCTTCTCAGGGCTGAAAGCATAGATCAGCAGTGGGAAGCTTGTCTAGCATTTGTAGTTTTTCAGTATCCACACTGTCAAGGTGTGAGCTGGGTAGTTTTGTTGCTGCTGCCTTTTGCTGCCTGGGATGATCTATAAATGCCTGCAGTCTTTCCCATCCAACAAAGGCATCCCTGAGGGATGTCAACTGTCCCATGGGAAAAAACTAGCTTCTTTAAAGTATACATTTTCACAGGCAGAGTGCCCATCTTTAATCTCAGCATTTGGGAGGCAGAGTTAGGCAGATCTCTGTGAGTTTGAGGCCAGCCTGGTCTACAGAGTTAGTTCCAGGACAGTCAGAGCTACACAGGGAAACCTTGCCTCTAAGAAAATGAAAAAAAAAAAAAAAAAGTAGACATTGTCTAAGATTTTGACAGTCCTCATCATTTCTGTTGATGTGTTTTTTCCCCCACTGTTATCACCTATTTTATCTGCTCTTCTGAGCTCCATTTCCCAATATGGAGGTCTTATCTGACCCACCAACTGGGGTGTCTTGGCCCACACTCTAGTTATGGGATGCCTGTTTTTAGCCTGCAAGATGTGGCATTGCCTTTAACTTCTTTGAACCACCTGGCCTGTTACTTACTCTGTTTGCTTTTCACATGGGTATAGTCAGAGTTTTCCCATCTTAGCAGCTGCTTCCAAATTACCACACAGAGACTTAGTATTATGTATGAATACTTGGCCAATAGTTCAGGCTTATTACTAGCTACCTCTTACATTTAAATTAACCTATTTCTATTAACTATGTATTGCCACATGGCTTGTGGCTTTCCCTCTCCTATAGCATCTCTTGCTCTTTTGACAGCTGCCTGGAGTCTCTCTGACTCCATCCTTCTTTCTCTCTGTATTCTCTTTTTTTTTTTTTAATTATTTTTTAAAATTATTTATTCATTATGTATACAATATTCTGTCTGTGTATATGCCTTCAGGCCAGAAGAGGGCACTAGACCTCATTATAGATGGTTGTGAGCCACCATGTGGTTGCTGGGAATTGAACTCAGGACCTTTGGAAGAGCAGGCAATGCTCTTAACCACTGAGCCATCTCTCCAGCCCTCTCTCTGTATTCTCAGTTTGATTACCCCACCTATACATTTTGCCTGGCATTGGCCAATCAGCTTTTATAAGCCACTGAGAGTAATACATATTGATAGTGTAGAAAAGGGTTGTTCCACTGCATTTCCCTGGTTTTGTCTAATTAAGTGAGGTTTTAACTTTAACATAGTAAAACTATATAATAAAAAGCTATTAAGCAAGAATTACAGTAATATCCGATCTATTTATTTGTATTTGGCAAATTAGAGAAAATACTCTATTATCTATTTTATCTTGGTGAGTCTTAAGTTTTATATCTAATTTATCTTTTATTATAACTAAGAAAAACTATAACCGACAATTTAATCTTCAACTCTGTCAAAGACCCCAGAAGATGGTAGGGCAGCCAACTTTGGCCTACAGGCCTAGCATATCTGACAGACTTTCCTGTGAAGCAGGGAACTTTGAAGGACTCTCCAACTGTGTCTTGCCAAAGTTTGGCAATCGCCTTTTTGGTGTCCCGCTGGTCCTGTTTCAACAGTAACTGTTATAGCATTGAGGCAAGGGCAGTTTCTTTGCCTGTGTGACTAGCTTTTGACAGAAACAAAACAAACTTCATACAGAATTTCTTCAGTGCCCATCATCTTTCTTTGAAGTAAATGCGTGCTGTTAGGAGCAGAGGTGACTCATTGTCATGAAAGCCTTAGGTTATTAGAACATTTTAAATGCCATATTCTGTAGGTCTTTGAAGTGTTGGAAGGCTACCTGTCTCATCTAAAATGTATGTTTGACCTTGAAAACACACCTAACATGACTACATTTGATTGTAATAAGTGACTAACTACTAACTGGTATTTTTTAAATTATACATTACATTTTTAAATGAGCTATATAAATACAATATTCCAAACAAGAGTAGAAACATAACACAAATAACTAAATTAATAATAAGTTACTATTAATAAACTAAAATTCATAATAATGTGAAATACTTTGAGATTAACAGTTGTTTTTTTGCATTAAAGTAGATTTATTAATCTATTGTTTTATCTCATCTTTTCTATATCTTATTCCCCTTTTCCTTTAGAAAGAGATCTTTAATTTTAACTCCTTTGTTTAGCTTTTTTCCTGACTATGATCCATAACAATTTGTAACCAACCCCCCTAAACAATGACAAATATCCATAATTCATTTTGGAGGGATGTTGGCATTGTTCTCCAGATTACTTTCTGTTCTTTTGGGGGCACTGAGGGACTTTGTGTATTTCCCATATTTACATGGTTTATATTTTTTATTACTCTATTTCTATTTAAGGACTTTATTTTTAAACTTTTTTTTTTTGTTTTGTTTTTGCTTTTGTTTTTCAAGACAGGGTTTCTCTGTAGCATTGGAGCCTGTCCTGGAACTAGACCAGGCTGGCCTTGAACTCAGTCGCTTGCCTCTTCCTCCCTCCTGAGAGCTGGGATTAAAGGAGTGTGCTACCACCACCCAAAACAATATATTTTTAATCCAAGACTGTATATATACTTTTTCTTCTCCCTTCCAAGCCTATGCACATTGATAAACACATACTAGACCGGTTAGAGGCTCTTTTTGTCTGAGTCTGTCCTTATTGTGTATCTGTAACTCTGTAACCTTTTCTGTCTGCATGAGCAGAAACCCTAAGCCAGCCAGGCAGTGTACAGCTGGGAGACGCTTCTCTGTACCACAGCCTGTGTGGGCCTGTGGGAATCAGCCATGTGGCTTAGCTCGGGGTTAGCTGGCCGTTGCCAGGAGCTGTGTCTCTGTACTGCAGCAGGCATGAGAAATACAAGGCTAAGGTGTTGCTCCAGGCTCTGTTTCTGTGTGTTTAGGATTGTTTTTAGAGCTTTGTTAGGTCTTATGTGGGATTCCAGTCCTACCTTGAAGTGCCATATGTAGGCAGAGTTTCCCATCCCAGCAGCCACTTCCAAATTACCACACAGAGACTTAGTATTATTTATAAATGCTTGGCCAATAGCTCATGCTTATTACTAGCTAACTCTTACATTTAAATTAACCCATTTCTTTTAATTGGTATAGTGCCACATGGCTTGTGGCTTTACCTGTCCTCTAGCATCTCTTGTTCCCTCGGCAGCTGGCTGGAGCTCTCTCTAACTTTACCTTCTTTCTCCTGTATTCTCAGTTTGTTCCTGCCACCTGTTTTTCCTGGCCTTGTTCAATCAGCTTTCATAAGCCAATGAGAGCAATACACAGTCGTAGTGTTCCATAGCTCCTGGGGTTTTTCCATAGTTGAGTCATTCCTTTCTTTTCTCCTGGCCTATCTCTACTCATTGCTTCTTTTTAAATTTTTAATTTTTATTGGGAATCTCTTTTTTTTAAGATTTATGTGTATGGGTGGGTGGGTGTTTTACCTTCAGTTATATGCATGCAGTGCTCATAGAGGCCAGAAGAGGGCAGAAGATCCCCTGGCAGTAACTGGGATCCAGGGCTCATGCTTGTGTTGGGAGACCAGCCTGGGTCTTCTGGAAAAGTAGTGAGTGTTCTTTACTGCCGAGCCATCTCTGCAGCCATCTTACCTATTCTGTTTCCTCATGTTAGAACAGCTGACTATGCTGTGGTTCTCCCTTCAATCTTCCTTCATTGATACAGCACCCCATGGTCTACCGGCATGAGTGGTCACCCTGTGGGTTCTTCAGCCTCATCTCTCAGTGCACTACTTACTGCCCTGAGCTGAAGCCACTTGTTCTGTTGACCTGTGTGGCCTTTCCCATAGCTGCTCCCTTGGCTGTGCTGCTGGTATTATGTGCTCCTGGGTCTCTGGGACTGTGTTCCCAGGACCAAGATCAAGATTATACTCAATACACACTGAGTCCACGGCTTGCCTGGGCTACAAAGGCCCTGTCTAAGACAAATAAAGACTCCAAAAAAATTTGGGGGCCCGGTGAATATATAATCTCTTAGATGCGAAGGAAATCACGTTTCCTCCTGACCAGTTCAGACGTTTTAAATACATGGAGCGGAGAGGAAGGTTTAATTTATAAATGCTGTCGTCCCCCCTCCCATTTGCTTTATAAAACTGTTTTCATCCTGTTTCTCATGACTCTTCGCTGTGTTGGAGTCACCCAGTGTCTGTGCTTGTGCTTTGTTGTCTGTGAGTGGCTGTGGACTGTGAGGCTGTCTGGGAATTCCTTGTCTCTTCTCCCTTTTGTCTGAGATAGGGCTTCCTGTGTCCCTGTGCAGCTCAGGAGGGTAGCTGTATTCCTCATCTTCTTGTCTCAGAGCCGAGATTACAGGACTGTAGAGTGTGCCACAGCTCCTGGTTCACAGGCATTAGGATGATTGTCTCTGATTCAATTTCCCTAAGGGGTTTTGAGCTGCATGTGGTTAGCTACATAGTTTGTTTTTTACTAAAATGTAACTTACGTGGCTGGAGGTGTAGCAGAGGTACACAACATGTTGGCCTGTGTGAAGTCCTGAGTGCAGTCTCCAGCCCTGAGAAAGGGGAAGAATAAAAGTCTTAACCAGTTTGGAAAATACTCCAAAATCAAATTTGTAATGTTTTTTTTTTCTTCTTAAAAGATGCCAGCAGAGGGAACACTAACCAAAAAGTTGGCTGCAATAAAGTAAGTTTATAGATTATTTTCTTTTTTTAGCCTATCCTAGTGTTCTATAAGGTCTACCTTGATTTATTTCCGTATACCTGCTCGTGGCTAGTTAGTTTGTTTGTTTGTTTTCATCTTGTGGTCATAAATAAGTGGAGTGAAGGAATGGTTTGGTTTGATTTTTTGAGACAAGGTCTCATTATGTAGCCCTGACTGACTGACTGACTTTGAGCTTACAGAGATCTGCCTGTCTGTGCCTCCCAAGAGCTGAAATTAAAGGTATGCACTACTGGGCCCAGCCAGGCCTTACGTTTTTAAGACAGTGTCTTGCTATGGAACTCCTGATTCTTCTGCCTTTGTTTATGGGTGCTGAGCATATAGGGGAGCACCACACATCTGGCCACTTAGGACTGTGACATTTGAGCCTGGCAAAAGCATTGCCACAGTCTGCATCCTGAATGCCTCCTTAGCCCAGTCTGCTGGTGTGCCTGTAAGGTGCATCTGCCTCTGCTGTAGGCAGCACTCTCTTGCCTACTTTCTGAGCTACGTGTGCTAGTGTGTTTGTGAGCAGACCCCACACTTCGTGATGCTCCTCCTTGATTCTGGGGATGGCACGTGGGGCCTGGTTTGCGCTAAGCACTCACACTACCTCTGAGCACACTCCAGCCCATTCCGTCCTGGTCTGACTTTCCTCAGCAGGGTTTTGAGATCCGTGCTGTGTGCATCAGTGATCTGTTCTTTGTCAATACTGTTTCCTCATGTGGAAAGTGAGCATTAGGTCATTCACTAGCCCTTCAGCATCCAGTGAGTCCAGATTTTACCTTTCATGCATAAAGGACTAAAACCATTTGTGGACAGGTAATGTCTCCTGACAAAGTCCGTGAGGGAGAATGTCTATGCCATACACTCAGTATGTTTTAGCTTCCTGAAAGGTAGCCCCCTACTGCCCATCATTCTTGCATGGTTTTCATTCCACCAGCACTTGGTGAGAACACCACATGTCCGTGTCCTCCGCAGCCACAGGACACTAGTGTCAGCCTTTCTGAAGACTCCTTGCTATGCTTTTGTAAGATGGCAAACATCTTTTTATGTGCTTACTGGGTTTTTACTCTTTGGTCAAATACTGTAAAACTTCACCTGTTTACTGCTGTCTTTTTTCCCTTGTTTCTGAGGGAGAGAGAGATGGACGGCATGGGGGAGAGTTACATATTCTGCATGCAAAAGCTTTGGTGTCTTTTAAAGGATCAAAAGGATAAGAAATTTCACATCTTATTGAGGATCCAGTGTGGAGGGCTGCCATTGTTAGTGAGCTGTAGTGGAGTGGGAATGAGGGCACCAGGCTGTGGTCAGCCCCTCCGTGCTGTGTCCCCAGGCTCCCCTGCTATAGTGTTTGTTTGTAATGTGTGTGTATGGGCGTGCATGTGCAGTGTGCGTGTGGGAGCTGGCTCTCTACCACCAAGTGGTACTAGAGGACCAAACTCAGCCTGTCAGTCTTGGTGGCCGGCATCTTTACCCACTGAGCCATCTTTTAGGCTAGACTTGGTCTTTTGCCTTTGATGGGTCTTAATGTCCCATACCGTGTTGCTGACAGGAGGTTCCCTTTCCTCTTCTAGCCCTGGAGTCTTGGCTCTGCCCCGAGTGGCAGGCTGACTGTTCCTCCCCGCAGCATCTTCACCTTTTCCTTTACCTGGAGGAGAATCCAGGTGGGCTTGCACACTCTCCTCTAGCCTGTTGTCAGCATAGATGTTCTCCGGGGCTCATGCCCAGGCTCCGTCTTCTGTGGATGCCAGCTCAGATCTGAGTACACCCATAGATGGTCCCCTTGCAGCATGAGTGAGACCGAACCGTGCGGGTATTGTCTCTCTTTAGAGAGAGGAGCCTGGCCTTACTGTCCAGGTGCTTTCCTCTAAGACTCTTGCTCTCTGGGTTCCACCAGTTTTGATGCTGTGGATTAGCTGCTAAGGACAGGAGAGATGCTCTTTCTGGCTTCTGTGCTGTAGTGGAGACAGAACATTACCTGACATGAGCGGTTCATGGTCCCCTTTAGCCTGATGTAAAAGTCCACTGAAGTAGACCCACCTGCTTGCCGCTCGCATTCATGGGACAAAGATCTTTCTGTTCTGTGTTGCTGGGGTCAGCGTTGGGTTTGTTGGCAGCTGTGTCCTGTAGGGAGAGTTAGGTGCTGGAGAACACTGACTGTCTTTCCTGTAGCTTGTCAGCTTTTTGACCACCATCAACACTTCTCGGACCTCAGTTTCTTCATCATGAAGTCAGAAAACAACACCCACGCCAGGTGAAAGGTCTGGGTTAGTGCTGGGCAGTGTTTTGTGTCTAGTAAATCATAGCTGTTTTCCTCAATAGGAAGGTATCAGATTGTGCATAGGAAGTCACAGAAACCATGACAGTACCGAGATGGAGAACGGGCATGCGCCCCGTCTCTAACCCAGAAGCTGTCTATGGTCAGCTGGTCACAAAGGAAAAATTGTTTTTTTCCAATGGTGTCTCACTGGATATACCACATTTAAGTGAGAGCCTGTGGCTAACACAAAACAAACTCAGTGGTATTTTTAAGATTTTTTTTTTTTTGTCTCTATTTTGTTTGGGCATTTTTTACCTTACTGGTCTTTTGCTTATATATTATAGTTTCTACACATCTCTCATGCTTTCTTTCTTTCTTTTTTCTGTTTTGCTTTACTTATTTATTTTTGTCTGTTTGTTTTCCAGAGAGAGAGAGAGAGAAAAGGCATGGAGTTGGATGGGTGGGGAGGATGTATAAGTCCTGGCTGTCTTGGAACTTGCTCTGTAGACCAGGCTGGCTTTGAACCCACAGAGATCCTCCTGCCTCTGCTTCTTGAGTGCTGGGGTTAAAGGTGTGTGCCACCATACCTAGCTTGAAAAATAATTTTTTTCAACAACAGGAAAGAAAAGACTCCAGTGTGCTGCAGCACGCTGTGTTCATGCCTGGCCCTGCCCACTGGGGTATCTTCCCAACAGTTCTCATTCGTGTTTTTGCCTTTGATGACCTCAGCAGCAGGCTGGCATCTTTAGGCAAGGACCAGTGATCATTACTAAGTCTATTTTACTGTTTTGTCTAAGATTTATTTATTTTTATTTTTTATATATTTGATTGTTTTGCCTGCATGTGTATATGTGCATTGTGTGTGTGGTGTCAGAGGAGACCAGAAAGGATGACAGATCTCCGGAACTAGAGTTGCAGATGGTTGTGAGCTGCCTTGTGAGTGCTGGGAACTGACCCAGGTCCCCTTCAAGAGCAACAAGTGTTCTTAGCCACTGAGCCATCTCCTCAGCCCTCATCTGTCTTACCACTATCATTAGTAGCTATTTTTACTGAGTCGCATCCATATTATATTACCCTTTGCAAGTGTAGGTCTTGGGCAGCAGCAGCAGCCATAATCACTAAAGGTGAAAAGCCAGCCTGGGGAAATGGCTCAGTTAAGTGGTTGTCTTGCAAGCATGAGGACTTAAGCTTGATCCCTTGTTAAAAAAAAAAGCCGGGCATAGTGGTTGGCACACTTGTAATCCCTGTGCTGGAGAGGTGAGACAATGACCATGCAGTCTAGCCTGTGTGGTGAGACCTAGGCATGAGAAACCCTGTCTCAAAATGTAGGTAGAACCTGCAAGATGGCTCAGCAAGGAAAAGTGCCTTCTTCCAAGGTCAGTGACCTCAGTTCAGTCCCTGGAACCCACATAGTGGAAGGGAAGGATTGACTCCTGTGAGTTGTCCCGGCCTCCACATGAGTGTTTGTGCTCCCCTACCTACAACTAAACACGTGTTTTAAAAATACACACAAAAATGGTAGACAGCACTGGAGGGATGACAGATGAGGTTGACTCTGGCCTCCACACATACATGCATGTATGTGTAAGCACACACACACACAAAAGTGAAGAGCAGCTCTTACTTGTCTTGCTTAGAAAGAATAGCCACGGGCTGGAGAGATGGCTCAGTGGTTAAGAGCGTTGCCTGCTCTTCCAAAGGTCCCGAGTTCAATTCCCAGCAACCACATGGTGGCTCACAACCATCTGTAATGAGGTCTGGTGCCCTTTTCTGGCCTGCAGACAGACACACAGATAGAATACTGTATGCATAATGAATAAATATTTAAAAAAAAAAAAGAAAAGAAAGAAAGAATAGCCTCAACACTTACTGTGGTCCTGACATAGGGGCCGTGTCTGGGCCAGATCAAACCTTTAGACCCAGTAGCAAGTTTACCAGGTACAGAAGACGGAGGCGCACGTCAGACTGCTTTCTCACAGCAGCAAATTCAGGCTGTTGGAAACAATGCAGGCTCAACAGATTTGTTTGCATGGACAAGTGAAGTGTAATGGATAGCAGTAGATAGGGCTGTGGGGCTGTATCGTGAGAGAGAAGCAGTCCAGTCCGTGTGGAAGTCGGGATGGTGGTGCCCATCAGCAGGATGGCTGGGTTGCTGGGTGGGTGGTGGCTGCTAGCACTTTCGCTTCTGCGCTGAGCTGTTTGTTGATGTGCACTTCCTAGTGTGTATCCTACAGTGAAAAGGAACAGTTTTTCTAGGTTCGGAGTTGGAGCCAGGATGACATTAGTGATCTTTCCATTGTTCTAGCTGACAACTCACAGTGATGACTCCTGAGATGATGTGGGCTCGTTGCTCCTTTTGCTATCTTTATATATCTCTGTTCCTTTTCAAACTACTGGATCTTTTCTTGAAAATGTGGAACTTCCAGTCTGCAAATTTTATCATGTATTGGTTATAGAAAACAAAACTAGTTTTTTCTCCTGAGTTTGAGGTTAGCAAGTTTTACATGATCTGTTTTTCCTTCTGTTCTCTCTGCAGACGTAAATTTCACCCTGACCAGAAAAGCATCAATGCGTACGTAGTGTTCAAGGAAGAGAATGCTGCTGCAAAGGCGCTGCAGAGGTGACCCTGCCAGGGACAGGGGGACAGGGCGGTGCTGGCCTCTTCCTGAGAGGGCTTTACATGGGCTTCATTACGGCAGACGCCCCATAGCTAAGTGCTGATTTTCAACAGCCACCCCCACTTGTCTTTATATTAGAAACGGGGCCGAGATTGCAGAAGGATTTCGTATTCGAGTTGATCTCGCATCTGAAACCACCTCTGTAAGTAGAATGTGATTTGTTTAAGGATCTTAACAAGACAGCTAGATATGGTAGCTCATGCCTGTCATTCCTGCATCAGGAGGGTGACAGGAATTACAGGTTCACCTGACATGACAGTGTGAGACTGTCTCAAAGAAGTGGAAGAGAAAACAAGGCAACAACAAAAAGATCTTCACATGAGCCTTGTGAAAAGGTGGACCAATGGAGGGAGCAGGGGGAGAATGGGAGAAAGGAACCTTTGTTCTTTAGGGACACCGTATTGGTGTCCAGGGGGGGTCACAGGACTCAGGTGAACATTATCTTCACAAATAGGCCACTTTCCATTTGAAGATACTCTCCCATGACCAGCTCTTTAGAGAAAGTAAGAGGTCACCAGAGACTAAAGTCAGGAAAGTTGTTACTCACTTAGGCTGCTTGCTCATGCCTGTGTTGGAGCTGGGGAGGCAGAGGCAAGAGCAGCACATGTTTTGGGCAATGCTGGGCTGTACAGTGAGATCCCATCTCAGAAACCAAAAGCAGAGTTGTTATTTGTTAGAGGTAAGGAGCAGTCTGAAGACTCTGTGTGCTTGGTATGTTGCTGGAGACGCAGAGGGCCAGGCTGTGGCTCTGTTTTATGGTAAGTGCTGTCATCTACACAGGGGGCTTTGTCCACTCAGAGTGGTGCCCCTGGGACAGGTCGACAGGAAAGGACAAGAACGGTTTGCAGGAGAACAGATTCCATGAGTCTTGAAAGATTTACCTGGGCAGGAAAGTATTCTCAAAGCACAGTGGCAATATCTGTGAGGTGTTATGGGAGGCCGCTTGTTTGCTCCCAGCTACCCAGAACTGAATTAATCACACAGAAACTGTATTTAAATCACTGCATGGCCAGTCACTTAAGCATATTGCTAGCTAGCTCTTATATCTTTGGTTAACCCATTTTATTATTTTATATTTTACCACAAGATTCATGACCCACCAGCAAGGTTCCAGCTGGCAGCTCACCTCTTTCCCTTCTGGCAGCTACTTGGCTTCTCTCTGACTCTGCCTTCTTTCTCCCAGCATTCAGTTTAGTTTTCCCCACCTAGCTCTGTCCTGCCCTGTTATAGGCTCAAAGCAGTTTGTTTATTCATTAACCAATAAAAGCAGCACATATACAGAAGGACTCTCCATATCAGGGGTGTGTATGGCAAGAGCTTTGTGTGGTCAGTGGGTGTACAGTAGCTAAGAGAGCTGCAGGGTAGATAGGTTGGCAGGCAGACTATGAATCCCTGCTTTGCCTCACTTCATGCAACGTCTGGGTCTTGTCCAGTATGGGTTCAGGAGCATTCAACATTTCAGTGCTGGAGCAATGTGACCAGACTGCACATGACAGCTGCATCTTCAGACAATAAGAGAACTGTAGAGTTAGCCTGCAGAAGTGTGCTTCTCTTAGATGAGAGAGAGCAACAGTCAGAGTCAAACCTCTAGCAGGACGACAGAGGGTCAGCAAGCTGTGGTGCTTGGGCCATATCTGTTAATAAATTTAACTGCATACAACCACAAGTTTTTTTTGTTTTGTTTTGTTTTTGGTTTTTTTTTTTGTTTTGTTTTGGTTTTTTTTTTTTTTTTTTTGGTTTTTTGAGACAGGGTTTCTCTGTGGTTTTGGAGCCTGTCCTGGAACTAGCTCTTGTAGACCAGGCTGGTCTCAACTCACAGAGATCTGCCTGCCTCTGCCTCCCAGGTGCTGGGATTAAAGGCGTGCGCCACCACCGTCCAGCACCTTAAGCTATTATAGCCGGATGAGAAGTTGCAGTGGAGATCATGTAGCCCTTAAGCTCTAAGTCTGAGTGGTTCTCCACCTTCCTAATGCTGCAGCTTTTAATGCAGTTCCTCATGCTGTGGTGACCCTCAACCATAGATTATCTTAATTGCTACTTCATAACTGTAATTTTGCTACTGTTATATATCATAAATATCTGTTTGCTGATGGTTTTAGTCATCCCTGTGAAGGATCATTTAACTACCTAAGGGGTCACGACCCACAGGTTGAGAACCACTGCCTTAGAGCCTGACATGGTTGCTGATCGGCCTCTCGCAGGCCCTCCCTAAGCACTGCCTGTGAGTGCTGCTGTGATCAGGTCTCTCCTGGTGCTCACATACTATGCAGCGGGAACATAGGAACAGACGAGGGCAGGGTATGATCAAATCAGGGAGTGGAGACCCTCAGCCCGAGGAGGGGATGGGCGGGGTGGGCTAGCTCCTGTTTTCTAGTATACTGACTGTTTCTGTTCATCGCTGTTTCAGAGGGACAAGAGATCGGTGTTTGTGGGGAATCTTCCTTACAGTAAGTGTGCTTTAACAAAAGTATTGTTGTTACTACATGATAGGGAAAGGAGCGGGATGTAGTTCCATGGCCAGGGGCTTACCTACATGCCTGAGAGCAGTAACAAGTACAGTAGTTGAGAACAAAAGGAAATTGAGTGATATGGACATGGTGGCATAGTGAGTGTCTTTAATCCCATCTAGTTGAGGCCAAGGCAGGAAGACTGGAAAAGAAGGTCAACTTTAGCTGCCTCTGGGGAAAATTTAGAAAGAGCCGAAGGTGTTGCTCAGTGGCAGAGCTCCTCCCTGGTGCTTTGTGTTCCCTTCCCTTACAGCAGAACCGTAGAAACAAAGCTCGAGTAATGTGAGGATTGCTTAGGACAGCTTTTAGAGGCAGGCTGTGTAGTGCTGTGTTCTCATGGGCTTCGCTAAGCATTATCACACAAGGACAGTCCACACATTCACCTCATTTGTGCTTGGATTTGTAGAAATTGAAGATGCTGCTTTGGAGAAACACTTTCTGGACTGTGGGAGCATTGTGGCAGTGCGGATCTTGAGAAACCCACTCACAGGCGTTGGCAGAGGGTTTGGCTATGTGCTCTTTGAGGTACGGGGACCAGAGAGAGAGCACTGCTGCTCTTGGGAATGAAAGCCTATGCCCCGGGGAGGTCGTCAGTGCTGTGTTGTGATTCGAATTCCCAGCTTCTGACTCAGGAAAGCTCAATTCATAACCACCACAACAGAATGCCATGGCTACAGCTGTCCAAGCATCCTTGTTTGTGCACGCTAGCAGTACTGTATAATACTCTAGATGCTGGGTGTTAGAGGAACCTTACCTTCTGTAAGAGGGAGCAAACACAAGGTTCCAGCATTGAGTTCAGTGACTACTAGTCAGTGTCTCCTGACATTCCTAAGCAGTAGAGGATACCTCTGCTGGATAGTAAGTAGATTTATTGTTACTATTTTTAATGTGTATGTGAGTATAGATACCCATGCCAGGCATGGGGGGTGCCCCACGAGCTGGAGTTACTGGTGGTCATGAGGCACTTGGCTTGGATGCCAGGAACTGAACTCCAATTCTCCTTAAGAGCAGTCTGGCGGCGGTGGTGGCGCACGCCTTTAATCCCAGCACTTGGGAGGCAGAGGCAGGCGGATCTCTGTGAGTTTGAGGCCAGCCTGGTCTACAAGAGCTAATTCCAGGACAGGAACCAAAAAGCTACGGAGAATCCCTGTCTCGAAAAAAAAGAAAAAAAAAAAAAAGAGCAGTCTGTACTCTTAACTACTGAGTGAGACATCTGTCCAGTGCCCAGGCTCTCTGACTCTTGACAGGTATCCCTGGGAGATGTTAGAAGTCTTATGTGTGAGGTCTGTGTTGCTCTACTGCACTGATATTGTCACTCTGTGTAGATGTAACTCACCTCTCTGAGACGCCTGTAGAGTTCTTTCAGCATCTCAGCATTCAAAATAGTATTAGTCATTCTGTGCTGGAATAGGAGTTTGGACTCACAGAACGTTCTAGAGCCTCTAGTCCCACATCTTAGGGACTATAGGAGAGTTTCATGTCTTCCACTTACAACAGAAATTTTACAGAAAGTTGGCTTCTGAGCTGTTTTCTGTTTTAAAGAAACCTATGATGACAGAAGTGAGCCCGTGGTTGTGGCTGTTAGCGTTTGGGGAGGTGACCTGAGTGTGACATGAGCAGCGGGGCTCACGCAGGGCTGGGACCACAGAGTAGAGGCCTTCATATACCATTGAACTCAGACTTTACTGATCTCGTTACATAGGAGTTTCTGGTGGAAATTAATGGTTTTTTTTATTATTATTTTTGTTCTTACAGAATACAGATGCTGTTCATCTTGCTTTGAAGTTAAATAATTCTGAGCTAATGGGAAGAAAATTGAGAGTCATGCGTTCTGTTAATAAAGAAAAGCTAAAACAACCGAGTTCAAACCCAAACTTGAAGAATGCCAGTAAACCTAAGCAAAAAGTTACTTTTTCTTCCAAAAATGCAGGGTGTTCCAAAAATGCATTTATTGGAGAAAAGGCAGTTCTTACGAAAAAGAAGAAAGGACAAAAGAAAAAAGTAAAAGCAAAGAAACCAAAAAATCAGCAGTAAAGACAGAAGCTGCTTCCTTCGTTTCTATGCTGAACACTTGGAATGAGTGTCCGGGTTTTTTTTACGAATTGTGTGGAAAATGTGGAGACTCACACAGTGGTGTTTTGTACTCATATGTAAGGCTTTTTTTTTTTTTTTAAGCATTATTCTTAGATATGAATTTACAGAAAATAATAAACATTAATACTGGTTACTGTGGGAACGCCGATTCCAGATGTGGCTGTGAAAGCCCAAGACAGACTGTGAGCTGTCAGTAATAGACGCCCATCTCTTCCTATCTCGTTCCAGCCATCTCAGAATTGCTAACCAACAAGAACACCCAGAAGTGTGACTGACTTCTAGGCCATGGCCAGCAACTAACGTGGTTGGTTATTAATGTCCTTGATAGGCTGGCTATAAAGCTGGTTTCACAGGGGTCACTCGGAATGAAATGGCTGTCCCAGAAAGTTTAAAGACATTTCCCAATGAATTATGGTAATTGAATCACAGATTTTAAAGGTGAACGATAGGACAACACGGGCTGCACCCTCTAGGGGCTTGGCCTGGTTACAGCAATGATGCAGATGTCACCAAGCCAAGGCTGGGTCCAGGATGGAGAACTGTGGGGAGGTATAAGCCAAGGTGGCTGTCTACAGAAAACACACTCTGTCACTTAGGTAGACACTCGTTTAGTTTTCAGAATTCTGTCTTTGGACAGTGCCATGTAGAAAACCTAATGGGGTGTCAGAACATAGCTCTAGAGGCTGGGGAGATGGCTTCTTGGTTAAGAGCATGCACTGCTCACGCTTCCAGAGAACCTGAGTTCAATTCCTAGCACCCACCTCAAGTAGTTCACAACTGCATATAACTGTGCACAGACATACACATACAGTTAAAAGTGTAGTTCTTAGGGAAAGCTCCATTTCCTGTGGCCAAGTCTGGATAGTTTATGCTTTGTTTCCCTTACCGTGCTCACAACCCTTTCAGTTAAATCTCAGCAATGTTACTTGATCATTTTAAGCATTCTGCCTAAATTATATAAAGATAGATTGTGTGTTCATATATGATCTGTGTGCATACATGCATACTTTGACTCCCGTGAGTGAACAGCTTAAAGCATAGTAGATATTGTATATACATATATTGTAGAGGACTGGCCTCGACAAAAATACCTCTTGCCAGGGTAGGGGCGTGGGAATTGAAGAAATGTAAGTAAAGAATATGAAGATGCATAAGAATAATAAGACAGGGCTGGAGAGATGGCTCATTGGTTAAGAGCATTGCCTGCTCTTCCAGAGGTCCTGAGTTCAGTTCCCAGCGACCACATGGTGGCTCACAACCATCTGTAAAGAGGTCTGGCGCCTTCTTCTGGCCTTCAGGCAGACAGACAGAATATTGTATACATAATAACTAAATAAATATTTAAAAAAAAAATAAGACAGAAAACAAAGTGTTGGGAGGGCATTCCAGTGACTGAAATCCTCTGTGTTTATTTTTTCACAGTTTGTATACCCAACATAAATGGGGGTGAGGGAAGCAGATAACAAAGGACTTTATTAACCTGATACAAAGGATGACTCACACAGCCAATGGCTTTATCACTCTGAGACATCCAGTCATTAGCATTCTGTTGTCTAGGTAGCAAAGGTGCTCTAGATCACATGCTGACAATTACCTTTCCTCAGCAGTTTCTTTCTTAGTTGCAAAGAAGGAGCAGAAAGTAGACTTGCAAATCCTGACCACCTGTCAGGGTGGCATGGAGCTATCTTAATTTCAAGAGAACCAAGCAATCACATCCTGAGTTAGGACAGACAACTATGGCCTGTCGATCTCCAGACTCTGACGGTCAGACAAGGTGGAAATGGGCCTGCATCATGTGGACGTAGGTGGATGCGTGCACAGCTTACACAGAGCTCTGAGAACTCGAGCTCTCTTCCACAGCGTGCACTTCTATTCACAGCCAGCTCACAGGCCCAGATGTTTCGGAATTTGTTAATGTGTACTTGCTGAACTCTCCTTTCACAAACAGAATATGTGTGTGGTACTTACTGTTTAAAACATGAAAAAAAAAGGATTTTGTAGAACATTTTCCGTAGACGCTCTGTAACCTTTCAACTTGGACAAATACTTGCCTTGTTATATCTGGGTAAATACTTACAGCCACAGGACTATGAGTGGCCAACAGTGGTTAGAAGTTGGTTTTTAGTTATAATAAAAATACTGGATGGGGGCTGGAGAGATGGCTCAGTGGCTAAGAGCACTGACTGCTCTTCCAAAGGTCCTGAGTTCAATTCACAGCAACCACATGGTGGCTTACAACCATCTGTAATGAGGTCTGGTGCCCTCTTCTGGCTTTCAGGCATGCACGCAGAAAGAATATTGTATACATAATAAATAAGTTTAAAAACATACTGGATACATGCTTTTTAATCATGAGAATTAGTCACTTTTTTTTCTCTCATGAACAGTTTTTCCCTAACTTGTCCTCAAATGCTTTCTGCTGGGCTTACATGTTAAGGAGTTCTCAGAGTGAGAGGCGTAGGGAAGCTCTGGCCGCCTACCCTTTGCCTTGTCTCTGCGGACAATTCTGAGTGACTGCAGCAGAGCTTGAGTGTGACCCAGTTCAGTGACTAACATTAAGCACGTCTCCCAACTTCCCTGTGAATACCTCCCTCCGTAGGTGAAGTAAGAGATTGGACGTGGAGTCTGATGGAATTACCTTCAGTTTGCAGAATTCACTAATAATTATGAACACATTTAACCAAAATGAACTTTTCACATGGCTGTATGTGTTGCAGACATTTAATTTAAAAACCCAGTAATGTGGCAGAGCACCAACCTAGCATGCCTGCCACTCCTCCTTTAATCGACAGTAACACAAGTTAAACTGGTTTCCATTCAAGTCATCCGGAACCCACTGTTACAGCTACAAAGACGACCAATGTCCGGTGTTCAAGGCCTCGCATGCCAACTTGTGGATTTGAGTAGCTGGTTTCTGTTCTGTGTACCCAAGGCTCAGGAGGCTGAGGCTCACAGGTAGTTTTAGGGATGAGGGAAATCACAATGTGTGCCGGGTATAAGAAAGCCGCTCTCCTGCTCTGTTGTATGTGTCTTGTCTGGGTCCTTGGTTCTGCTGTATCTGCACTTATCCTTACCCCATACCTTTCCCCCACACATACCTTCAGGGCTAATTCCTGTTCTGATGGAGGGCTTTCCCAGGCTGTGTTAGGTCCTTCAGTGACATCTTCCGGTATTGTCTACCAACTACTCAGACTAAGTTTCACAAGGGAAGGGTGCAGTGTTCGACCAGATTGCCTTTCCTTCAAACGCTAGCCAGTGTGTGGTGTGTGGGCCTCACCATTGCTAATGAACTGGCTGGCATTCTTTTGCTCAGATGGAAATCCAGTAGGCAAGGAATAGCTTCTGTGGAGCTGGTAGTTCTGGGCCCTGAAGTGCAGACAGCTTCTTAGCTGGGGCTTACTGATCCAGAGGCTTCTAGTTCCAAGTCCCGAGAACTGGAGATTTAGGGTTTCAGGCCTTGCAAACCAGATAGCTCTGACTTCTGATTGCCAGCAGCCCAGCGCTTACCAGCTAGTGAAATCCTTGGCCCTAAGAACAGGTAATGGCGGCAACACCTTTTATTACCCCTGGGAGGACCTCAGACCTTGGGACCCTCATCCTCATGCAGTGTTACAGCCCTGGGGTCTTGGGTGTCAGGATCCTTGTCTGTAAGATGTTTCCTGGAACTCTGACAATGACCAGAGGCAGCAGCTTCTCACCGTCATCTCTCCACAATGTTCTACCTTCTGCTCTGTCATCCTATTTCTCGCTTGCTGCTACTGCCACAGAAGGGTGATGGTGTGGGCACGGTCGCCGCTGTCACTCTCTACTGCCACCCCTCTAGTTGCTAGCTAAAAAAAAAAATCAGTTGGGAGTAGCCTTTTTATTGGGTCTAATGTTGCAATACTAGGCACCAATACAAGGCAGCATCTCCTGGCTGACTCAAAAATGGAGCTGTCTGGTGGGTGCCTGGTGCAGACCCGGAACCGCAGCTGCCAAGCAAGTGGAGACTGCTGGGGCTTGCTGGCTGACTAGAGAAAACGCCAGCCCCAGCTTCATGGGGTGGCTGGTTAGCTGAGCCCCTGGTTTCTCTGCACATACATTTAAAAAACACAACCTGGTTGTGGGGTAGGAAAAAGGATGACGTGAGTGCTTGCACCGATCATAACTCTTCATGTAAAAGAGCCTTGTGTTTTGCACTAACTCTGGAACACGAAGGGACGCTTCTCACCCTGGCCTTGGCGGGAAGTCATCCAGAGTCCTCTCTGGCTCTTGGAGAGTAAAAAGATCGGTACAATCGCTCTAAAACAGAGCCTCCCGGTGCTGAGTCGGTCTTCAGCAACAAGCGGCTACAGTGTGTACTACGGGTAGCAGGGGTGTGTTTAGAGCATGCGGGTGGCTTCCCTTCATTGACAGAAAGTCCCAGTACCGTGTCTACAAAAAAGACTCACGGAAAAGTCCGCACAGAAACGCCCATTCGAATAGCGTTTAACACAGCTCCACAATATTCAATAGTGCTCAGCTCAGCTCCAGCTTCCAGGGAAGGCGTGGGTTCCTGCAGTACAGATAGCTAGCCTGAGTTTGGGGCTTTCCCCATTATTAGTTAATTTCACTTAAAACGTCAAAGAATTGCTACACTTGGATTAATGACAACTAATGACAGCTCAAGGGCACATCCCCAGATTGTTTTTTTGCCTTTCTACTTCCCTCATAGGTTAACTTTTGTTTTGCTTTTTGAAGAATCACTCAATTTTTCTTCCCTACGAATTAAGATGGGGCTACATCCTAAAATTATTTTGAAATCAATTACTGTGTCCAAGTTCGGCCACAGCTCAAAAAACAAATGCAGCCAGGCCGAGGTGGGAGGGTTGCAGGTTTCAGGCCAGGGCAGACAGACAACACAGCAAGTCCCAGGCCTGGCTAAGTCACAAGGGGAGAGCCGGGCTCAAAAAATGGAAAAAGGGAAGAAGGCACGCTCTTCATGTCGCGGGCTTCCTGACGGGCACGGTGGGGTGGGGTGCTGTGCTAGCAGGCTCGCACCTCTGTCCTTCACGAGCGACGATGGCGGACAAAGGCTCCTGACTCAGCGCGCCACCACCACGTGCAGCCACCAAGCCACCAGCCGTGCAGGGAGAAAGGGGGGGGGGGAAGGAGCGCGTGATGACGCACGAACCCTTCCGCAGTGCGCGCCCCTCCCCCAGCGCGGCCGGCGCGGGCGAGGCCGTCTGCGCTTGCGCACCAGGCGCTCCCGCGCAGGCACCGCCGCGGACGCCCCCGGGAGGGGCGGGGTAGGGAGAGCGGGGGGGGGGGGTCCTCGCGCGCCGGAAGCGCTGGGGCCGGGCCTCTTCCGTCCGGACGCGGGGCGGCGAGCGGCCGGCGTGCTCCGAGCGCTCGGAGCGAAGCGCTGCCTGGCGGCCCTCGGCGGCCCCGGCCCCGGCCCGCGCGCGCCCCCGCCGAGCGAGCGAGCGGACGAGCGAAGATGGTGGGCCGCAACAGTGCCATCGCCGCGGGCGTGTGCGGCGCCCTCTTCATCGGCTACTGCATCTACTTCGACCGCAAAAGGCGGAGCGACCCCAACTTCAAGAACAGGCTGCGAGAACGTGAGTGGGCCCGCGCGACCCCGCTCCCCGACGCCCGACGCGATCCCCGCAGGCCGCCCCGGCCGCGCGCTGCGCCCGGGGTCCCGCCCGTGCCCGCGGCCCTCCATCTTGGAGGCGACCTGGGCTCCATCTTGCAGGCGACGGGATGGAGGCACGCTGGGCTCCCGGGAGGGGAACCGTGTCCCCTCCCACCCGTCTGTAATGTTTTTTTTTTCTTTCTTTTTAAGACGGGTCTTTAGTCCTGGGTGGGTTGGTGGTCATGGCAGTCCTCCCGCCTTCGCCTTCCAGGTATTGTCCCAGGCATGAGCCACCTCGCCCAGCCTCCATTAGACTTGTGGGCGGTGTGTGCGTGCTTGAGACCGGGGCCTGCCGTGTCGTTGAGGCTGGCTTGAATCACTAGCCCAGGCTAGCCTCGATCTCGTGGCTCAGCCGCCGTCCTTCAGCTCCTCGAGGGCTGTGCTAACAGGCACAAACCATCCGTTCCTCCTTCATTGTTGGAAGAGATTGTTCCCGTGTGTTTGCGGCAGTTTGGAGGCTGGCTTCGAACTCGTGGTGCCTCCCATTGCTGGCTTTACAGACGGGCGCCACCACATGGCTAACCCAATCCTTACCCCGAAATGGTTGCCTGTGGTGTGTGCAATCGTTCGCTAGAGCCTCCATCCGCAGACTCTGCGGGATCATCCTTGCATTCTTAAACCCTCTTGGCGGCTTCGCTCCGGTGCTTCCAAGATATGAGTGAATGCTAGAGAAAGTGCGGGGGAGTCCAAAGGGCTGCGCTCCTCACGTGGTTCAGCCTTATTTCATACCTGCGACATCTTTTAGGAAGTTTGCCGGATGGCGATAGCTAAGCGGGTTAATTCCTTTGGAAATCTTAAGAAAATAGTTTCGGGTTGAAGAAATCGTAAATTGTCGTTTCGGGGAAATTTGGGTTGTTTGGGGTTTTTTGTTTTGAGCCTGGTTTTCCATCTGTAGACTAGTGTGGCCTCAGAGTCAAGAGATCAACCTGCCTCGGACTCAAGTGCTGGCATTAAAGGCTTGGGGCACAGAGCCCTACTAGCCTTGTTTTCAGAAAAACCTTTCCGGCATTTCCTTTTGGCCCTTCTGGCGATTGAATACACGGCCTTTTTCAGACTCGGTTTTCCACCACTGCCTCTATCACGTTCTGTTCTATCTGCTTTGTGTTGTTGGTGGGTGTTTTTTTTTTTTTTTTTTTTTTTTTTGGTTTTTCGAGACAGGGTTTCGCTGTAGCTTTGGAGCCTGTCCTGGAACTCCCTTTATAGACCAGGCTGGCCTCGAACTCACAGAGATCCGCCTGCCTCTGCCTCCCGAGTGCTGGGATTAAAGGCGTGCGCCACCACCGCCCGGCTTTTTGTTTTTCTGTTTTTTTCCTCCTAACTTTAGTCAGGACCTACCTAAGTGAATTAGTAACTGTAGCTGTGGCACAAAAGGCAGGAACGAATCCACACTTTTGGATCTCTAGTACCGCTGCTGACAACGCTATTAATGAATGCCAGAGTTTCTTTAAATTTTTGCAAATAAATAGCGAGTAGTTCCAGTCTCTTTAAAGCCGTCTGCAGTCGAGTGAGTCTTAGGAATCTGAATAGTTGGTTTTGACTCATTTGCATTTGCAGTAAAAGACTAGTTTCTCCCTTCGTTTTCTTTTTGATATTTAATGAAAAGGAGCTTAAATTGAGTGTTTGAAATTGGATTAGGTGTCTTAACTCAGACTTCTGTTTCTGTAAGCAGATGATCCTCACTCCTCGCCCCAGAGGCTCCATCGGGCTTCTAAATGGCGTGAAAGACGCTCCATTGAGGAATGTGTTAGAGAGGCTACTTAGTTAGATGTTCAGATAATGTCTTGGATTTGGGGTGTGTCTGAATTTATATTTTGCACCTCTGCCACCCAGCACCCAGTGGATATAGTTACCGCAAGTTTACAAGTGTCGTTTGAGATTAATATCAGCAAGTAAAAAGCAAGGCCTGATTCTGCTGATTGGATGTGTACCTTGTTCCTGATGTGTTTTTCCCTGTGTCACAGAGACACTTGTATGAAACCACGCCCACGCACTTGTTAGTAAGTTAGATGGCTATGGAAAACTAATGGAGTTCATGGTCTTTTTATTTTCTCAAAATTCTGGTTTAGAACATTGTATTATTACACAGTTTTGCTTTGTTTTCAAGGTATTTTTGTCTGAAAGGTGTGTTGTCTGTATAGTGTCTGAGGGCAGGAGGTCTTGAACGGCTGCTTTCACATCGTAGGAATTGACCAACAGGTCCTGTAGTCATGTGTTGTCCTGGATTCATGGAGTACTTTAAGGTTTTTAGAGGCTTTTCTTATTTTTTTCTTTCTCTCTCTCTTTCTTTCTCTTTTTCTTTGGGGGGGGGTGTTGGAGACAGGGTTTCTCTGTGTAGCTTTGTAGACTGTCCTGGAACTAGCTCTTGTGGGCCAGGTTGGCCTTGAACTTACAGAGATCCTCTCACCTTTGCCTCCCAAGTGCTGGAGTTAAAGGCGATGCCACCACCACCCGGCTGAAGTTAGAGTTTTCTAATTTCTAATTTACCCAGTTAGTGCATAGAGAGCCCTTCACTTGGGCCACCTAGTTATTGTCCAGGTCATAGTATTGAGTGATTTGTTATTTTCTAGGTATTGAATATTTAACTGTGAGGTGCCAAGGGCAGAATATGAGCCTAGGTACTCTTGCCAGATGTTTGCATTTGTTAACTCACAAGCCTGCTGGAAGCCCCATAATTATGGAGATACTATTATTAGATCAGTTTGAATGAGGGCCAGGTTACTGTACCTTACTGTAGTGTAGGTCAGTACAAAAGGGGCTGTGGTGCGGGGAGATGGTGGCACACGCCTTTAATCCCAGCACTGGGAGGCAGAGGCAGGTGGATCTCTGAGTTCGAGACCAGCCTGGTCTACAGAGCTAGTTCCAGGACAGGCTCCAAAGCCACAGAGAAACCCTGTCTCGGGGGAAAAAAAAAACAAACAAACAAACAAAAAAAAGGGGGGGCTGTGGCCCCCACACACCAATGCCCTTTCTTATGGAGCACACCATTACAGAGCAGTGAGGTCATTTTTAAATAAGCAGCCATAGGCAGCAGAATGCATTTTGGAGCATGACCTCTTACCCTTTTCTTTTATGACCAAACATAAATACTACTGAGACCTTGGAACCTTATTGCACACCTGTAATCCCTGCACTTGAACTGGAGCAGAAGGATCTAGAGGTTAGGAGCCTCCACTGTAACAGATCAGACCAATCTGGATTCACAGAACTTGTCTCTAAAAAAACCCGCCGAAGTCAAATATTTTATTTTTACAAAATCATGCTGCTTAATAGTAAAGCTAGAATCTAGTATAACTCAGTAATAAATGCTTAATTCTTGTACCTTGCAAAGGGAGCTTAGTTCTGCTGGGGTGCAGCTGTTGGAACTGTCTCTGTCCTGTGCGTTGCTAGACCTGGGGGGGGGGGAGGCTGCTGTCCAGGGAGGCCGGGGTTCTGGGGTCAGGACTGTTTGTGAATTAATGATTGCTGAGTAGTCAGATGTGTTGATCCTTTTGATGATAGCCAAGTGAAATTTTATTTATTTATTTGTTTTTTTGTAGGAAGAAAGAAACAGAAGCTTGCTAAGGAGAGAGCTGGGATTTCAAAGGTAATAAAGTGGTCTTTGTGTTTATAACAGCAGGTTATCTGGGCCTGCTAGATTTTGGTGGTGGTGACAACAAATAGCTTACTGGAGAAACAGCAAGATGGGGGTTTCTAATGATGTGGGCACCAAGAGGTAAGTGTGTTCTCAGCCACTTGAGAATGGTTAAAATGCAGCATTTGAGTCCTTCCTCTGGTGTCCTTGGAAAGAGCCACACCTGGAACCCTAGTGTGGAGAGAGGAACTTAGGCCAGGCCTCCTGGGCACCCTCTGCAGTGGCAAAGGGAGCTCTGTGTATTAATCCCAAGGCTCTTTAAAGTTTTTAAACCTATGGACCACAACTGTACCAGATTCTGATGGATTTAAAAAAAATCGTAACTTGTAGAATATAATTTCATTTTGGGTCCTGTGTCACTAATTTTTAATGACTATGTAAGATTTTTTTTTAATCTACTTGATTAAAACTCGCCTGGGCTGTGTCATTGAACTGAGCAAACGCTAGTTCAGCTACATGTCGCTTTCCTTCTTGCTGACATTACTTCTTTGTAGAACATGAACTATTGGATCACGAATCAATCTTTTAGAAGCTCATTCAGGCAGGGAAAATGTGATCGAAAAGTGTTAGACTTTGTTATTTTGAACCAGATGAGTGATCAGCATAGCTGGTAGGAAATGGTTCTAGCGAATAGAAGCTGGGAGCTGTTGTCCTGCTATGTCCAGACTACTTTTCCAATCTGTGGGATACAGATGGGGAGATAACTTGAGATTGTGTGTAAGTGTGTGGGGCTGATGGGAGGAGTGTTGATTAAGATTGGAGAGGTGGAGCTGGGCATTGTCTGCCTGGCAAGCTCTCTACCGCTGAGCTCTGCCCTTTCCCTGTCAGTTGTTTATGGTTCATTATAAGAATGAGAGGTCACTGAGATGACCAGCAAATGCACAGTGACTCTGCCCTCATCCCTCAGAGGTGTGTCTGGTGACCTGGGGCTCCCTGAGGCCGGAGGTTTGAAGCTTTGTGGCCACCCTGGTAAGATGCTGTCAAATATAAAGAGGACTGGGAATGTAGCTCAGTAGTAGAGTGCTTTTCTAGTATGCAAAGGGCCTTAAGTCCAAGCAACAAACGAATGGATGATAGTGTTTGTCTATAATGGCCACAAAAAAGCATCGTATAGATGATACAGATAGATATAGGTAATAGAGGTTTGTAAAGATGGTATAGACAATATAGATATTTGTGTTTTTTAGATTCCTTAGCTTTTTTTTTGACTAAGTTTTTGTTCTTAGAATGGGTGCTCATTTGTTGTGCTACCACTGTCATTTTTAAATTTTATTGGCTTTCTGTGTGGGTTGTATTCTCGTTTAATTTCTAAATATTCCTTTTCCAGTTACCTGACTTAAAGGATGCTGAAGCTGTTCAGAAGTTCTTCCTTGAGGAGATACAGCTTGGTGAAGAGTTATTAGCACAAGGTAATAGTCATTCCAGGATTGAGAAAGTAGAGTGAATTATTCATATTGATAAAAATGTATAATGACAGGATTTTCTTGCATAGTTGATGTTAGAAAAAGGATTCTAAACATTTCAAGGTGAGTTTCTCGGTGCTTTGTACTAAGGCTGGCTCCGGAAAGACAGACCGTAGGCTGCCATTGTTCGGCACTGGGTTTTATGTGAGTCTTAGGCTCACATGCTCTGTCACAGAGCAAGTGGAGGATGAGGTAAGAGTTGAGTGGAAGCCTGGCGGTGGTGGCGCACACCTTTAATCCCAGTACTCAGGAGGCAGAGGCAGGCGGATCTCGGGGAGTTTGAGGCCAGCCTGGTCTACAAGAGCTAGTTCCGGGACAGGTTCCAAAGCTACAGAGAAACCCTGTCTCGAAAAACCAAAAAAAAAAAAAAAAAATTGAGTGGAGCTAGGTGAGAACTTCCATTTTTACAGGTGACTCTGAAGTCATTTAGAGTGTGTGTGTGTCCGTGTGTCCTCGTAGTGCAGTGTAAATAGTGACTGAATGTGATCTCAGTTTGCCAGCGCGCACCTAGTCATCAGGAACAGACACTGGCATCTCGTCACAGAAAGGCCAAGGATCTGTCCTAGAGAGCTGCCAGTTTTCAGTCCACATTGTAATCATGAAGTATATTCTAACACTATCAAAAGACTTGGGATAGCTGAATTTGCTGGTGAGAGTGAGGGCAAGCAGACAGAAAGGCACAGCTTTCTGTCATGTCTGTCTGTGGGCTGCCTCCAGGAAGTGTGGCCAGGATTTAGGGTGGGTTTTCAACCTTAGATAGTCCCACCAAGAAAAATAACTCAGATGTGCCCAGCTACTTGGATTTCAGTTAATTTTCCAATTAGTCGAGTTAACAACAGCCAGAGTAGTCATCATACCAGGTGTTCCTAGCATCTCGTTTCAGATCTGATCAGTTACATGGCCCAGAATTTAGATACTTAATTACTTTCACTTATTCAATCAAGTTTGTTTTTGTTGTTTGGTTTATTTTTCATCCTTATATATATCTTTATCTTTTATTTTTTTTTCCTTTCTGAGACATACTGTGTAGCAGCTCTGACTATCCTGGAATTCAATTTGTAATCCAGCCTACCTCTGCCTCCCGAGTGCTAGGATTAAAAGGCATTTGTTACCATGCCCAGCTACTGAATATCTTAATAGGTATTTTTTGTTTTAGAATTGGGTAACATTTTGTTCTATACTATAGGATGTGTAGTGATATTTTATTTGTACAAGTACAGGTTGCCTGAAGGTCAGAGTGCAAAGCTAAGCCACTAGAAGCCAGAGAGCGGTGGCACACAGTTTAGTCCCCCAACTCTGTTGGACTCAGAGGCAGGTGGATCTCTGTGAGTTCAAGGCCACCCTGGGCTACACAAGATAAATCCAGAAACAGATCCAGGTGTTGGTGGCTCACACTTTGAATCCTGGCACTAGGGAGGTGGAGACAGATTATATGGCTGGGTGGAGAAAGAAATATAAAGACTGGACCTCACCCTTTCGGTCTGAAGATTTGGTAGAGGTAAAAGGTGTCTCTAGTGGTTGGCTGCTTTGCTCTTCTGATCTTCAGGTTGAGCTCCAGTATCTGTCTCTGGGTCTCTGGGTTTTTATTATTCATGCTACAAGGATGGTTCCTATTTAAAACTTTTTGAAGTTGTTGCTGTCATTAATAAAATTGGTATTTCAGATTTTATACTGGATTCAGTTAGAGTTGAATTTCATGCATAATGTGTTATTGTGTTGTTTTATGAGAGAGTTTATGGTGGCGATCATCTTAACCCTTTTAAAATTCAGTGTGTTTGTGGGAGATGCACGTGAATTCCACATGTTGGTGTAGGGTCAGAGGAAATCTTGGAAACAGTTCTCTTCCACTCTTAGGTGAGGCTGGGGATTGAACTAAGGTATCCAGGCTTACTTTAGCTTTACTTGCTGAGCCACATCACGGGCCACAACTTCTTAGATTTTTTTTCCTAAGAGAAGATTTCACCAAAAGTCAGAGATGTTCTTGTATTCAAATAACTAGCAAACTTATTTCCAGACTTTTCCCAGATTAAAACCAATTTGAGTAGGAAAACTTAGAAGAATAGATTTTCCAAGGTGCTCTAGGGAGGCCCAGGCACTGTGTGTTCTTTGCAACAGGGTGGTGCTTCAGCCTGGAGTGAATTAGTTCCTCTGTTCTAGCCAGCTGCAATTTCAGCACTGACAAATGGACAGAAAAGCTTATTGCCAGAACTGGTTCAGAAGAGGCCTGGTGTGTGCTGGAGTAGGAACTGAGTAAAGCCAATCATTCAGTCAGCTCCAGCTCTATGTCCCACAGTCTCGGGGCCTGGCCCTGCGTAGGGTCTCCTGATGGGTATCATTACATCTTCTCATGCCCGAGGAAAGGAACTGGTCATGCACGTCAGAGTGGTGGCTGCACGGTCAGCTGGTGTCCTGATTGTATGGGTGGGATAACCATAATTCCCACGAGGGCAGAGACTGAGCTATTTCTGACCATGCTTGAGAGGTTCTTAGGTGCTGGTGCCCCACTCTCCACAGCCGGCAGCTGGTGAAATACGTCCATTCCGTGGGTGCAGGGAAATTCAGTGCTGGTTGTTTTACTTGTCCCCATTCGATCTGTTGGTGACTACGTTTTGACGGCCACAGATAACATGTGGTTCTGTACACTCTTGCAGGTGACTACGAGAACGGTGTAGACCACCTGACAAATGCGATTGCTGTGTGTGGGCAGCCTCAGCAGCTGCTGCAAGTGTTACAGCAGACTCTCCCACCACCAGTGTTCCAGATGCTTCTGACCAAGCTTCCAACCATTAGTCAGGTAAGTGCCTCAGAGTAGCCTGTGAATTGATTGGTCTGAGGACTAGATGCTCAGGGGCAAGTCTGCTGAGCATATTATAATATTGGATATGCCAGACTGGAAATGGTTTTCCTAATGATACATTAAGCAGGTAAGTAGCATAAGGTCCAGACCTGTATCAGATGTGAATCATAAGTGTACATGGTTGGTGTTGAGTGTGAGGCCTTTACATTTGAGTCCCTAAGTTCAGGCCAGCCGGCTCGTGCTCAGGATGCAGTGCGTTTTGGAGCCCTCGCCCTTTGTGCTCAAGGCTCTGGGCAAGCTTGTTGGACATCATATCAAGTTTTCAGTTTAGTTAACATAGGGGATACAGAAGTCAAGATTGCATAACCTGGGCCATCCTGGTTCCATGTGTCAGGCTTGGTACTGTCTGCCTCCTGCTGCTGTGGGCTTTGAATTGGTGCTGTGTGACATACATTCCTCAATTTCTCCTGCGAGGGACAAAGGGCATGTTAAAATGTTAATACAGCTGAGTGTGAGCACACACCTGTCATCCCAGCACTTTCAGGGTCTGAGGCACGGCTATTTAGTGAGATTTTGTTTCAAAATATTAAGTACAAATTGGCTAAACTTTCACTACCATGCATTCTTTCTAAGGAGACCAAAATGAGGCTCAGATCAGCTACTGCATGTGCTGATTGCTAGTTCCATATGGATCAGAGTTAGCAAAGTGATGATGGCAAGGAAGTTTTCACAAGGTTTTTCAGTAACTTAATAGTTTTCCAACTTTTTTCTTTCATGGTTTTGTGCCTTATTCAAGTTAGGTGCAGGCTTCACCATTGAGTCACAGTCTTGGCTCCTTTGCACCGATTGTTAACTCAGCTAGGTTGGAAGAGGCCTGGGGAGAAATTAAATTTCCCTAAGATTTCCAGAAGATTTAGAATACCTGGAACTTGAACTACACCCAGCAGTGGTTGTGTACGCCTTTAATCCCAGCACTCTGGAAGGCAGACACAGGTGGATCTCTGTGAGTTCGAGGCTAGCCTGGTCTACATAGTGAGTTCCAGGACAGCCAGGGCTGTTACACAGAGAAACCCTGTCTTACCCTGTCTTGAAAAACAAAACAAAAAACTGATTACAAGAACTTAACGTGTTTTTTTTTTTGTTTTTTTTTTTTTGTTTGTTTTTTTTTTGTTTGTTTTTGTTTTTTGGTTCTTTGAGACAGGGTTTCTCTGTGGTTTTGGAGCCTATCCTGGAACTAGCTCTTGTAGACCAGGCTGGTTTCGAAACTCAGAGAGATCCACCTGACTCTGCCTCCCAAGTGCTGGGCTTAAAGGCTTGCGCCACCACCGCCTGGCTTAAGTTTTTTTTTTTTTAATTAAAGATATTTATTTATTATGTATATAACATTCTTCCTCCGTGTATGCCTGCAGGCCAGAAGAGGGCACCAGATCTCATTATATATAGATGGTTGTGAGCCACCATGTGGTTGCTGGGAATAGAACTCAGGACCTCAGGAAGAACAGTCAATGCTCTTAACCACTGAGCCATCTCTCCAGCCCTTGAATTAAGTTTTAAATTTAGATGAATATGGTTCCATTCTGTCCACACCCCAGTTAACGTTATGTGCTGTTGAAGGGGTAACTTCTGTAGTTTGTGATGCCGTAATCATAGCCAGTTCTGGACATGGATTTAGCTGTTATATATCAGTCCAGGAGCCACCTGGCTATGTCACAGTGTGACGCGGGTTAGCATCTAAATTCTCAACAGGTTGTATTACTCTATTACCTTGTTTTTTGTCAGTTAAATGTAGATTGAGGGGGAGGGTGTTAATTTTGGAATGCAGTATTGCTTCTTGTAATGGCTGGGGGCTGGAAGGGAAATGACCTGTAGGAACACAGCTTGGTAAGAGCGCCAGCTGCTGTCCTTGGTTTGTGTGGCGTGAAAAGTTTGTAGATTACTACATAATTGACAGCATTCTGCCTTGTACTTCATGTATTCACTTGGATTCTGGTGTGAAACTGAAGCTTGTGTGGTGACACCCCAACACCACCACCAGTCCCCTCCCCTCAGCAGCCCTGGCGCTGAGATTGCAGGGCTGTCTCCATGCCCAGCTGGTCTTGTCTTCTCAGACAGCAATGTGTGAAGTGAAGGATGGGGGAACTCGAGCAAGGGTTAGTGTAAGTTGAAGTTAAGACACTTGTCAATTAATTTTCTTTTTCTTTACAGAGAATTGTAAGTGCTCAGAGCTTGGCTGAAGATGATGTGGAATGAGCCAGATATCAACACTATAAAATCTGTTAAAAATGATTTAACCATTAGCTTGGAAGCTGCTCGGCTCTGGGGGAATAAGGGCAAATGTGCTTGTCATGAACTGTCCTACACTGAAGTCTACCAAAGTGAATGTGTGCTTTGAGTAGATCCATTGTCTGTTCTATTTATTTTTTCCAGTGAAAAGTATTTTGATAGGACTTTTCATTTTATAAATACACAGAGTTAACCAAAATATCATGGATTTCGTTTATTCTTATGACATGGAATTCAAATGTAAATACAGTAAGTAGAGTATTACTGAGATAAAAACACCCAGAGATGAATTTTGAAAGATTGGAAGAGAGTAAGAAGGATAGTTGAATAATGCCCATTTTTAAAGACTAGTACATTTTACTGTAAGTCATAAAATTGGATAGAAACATGTGTTTGTGAAAACTGAGCATTAAAATCTTACCGAGACCGTTTCTTTCTGTTTACTCTTGAACATGTGAAGTGTGCTGTTAGCGATCCCATTCCTCCCGTGCTTCCTTAAAAACTTAGTCTGCATCTGTGGCTTAATGTCTTTTGGGCACTAACGCCTAGTATTCCGAGCACCTGGCTGCAGGTAGCTTTGCCTGCTGTATGCTCATTCAGCTCTGTGTGGACTGAGTGTCGGTCTGCTCATCTCGGGGGTGGCTCTTCAGTGTGGAGCCTGATTGGTTCTGTTGAGTGTCTTCAGGTCCATCTCCAGCTGTTGACTGATGGTTATTTCAGAACAACCAGGGCTTGCACTAGTTTATATTCTGAATTTGCATGTTTGCCTGGCTTGGTGTTTCCATAGTTAAACCTCTCAATAGACTAGCTTCTTTGTCAGTTGTCGGCTGATGTGATCCTCTTGCTACCGTGTCAGTTAACCAGGAGCTTGTCTGTGGGGCAGTTGTGATGGTCGACTTGTGTCTCCTCCCTTTCTGCCTATACCAGTGCATCTCTTCAGTCCCGCGGATGACTCAGCAGATCACCTGGTGACGTGAGCTGTTTCTGAGCTGAGGGTGAAGGCCTTAGGGTCTGTGCTGGTATCTGTTCACCGAGCAGCATTCTCAGGGGCAGCTCGTCGGCCTCCATGCCTTAGACTTGCTTGGCTTTCCTCACCTTTTCCATGGGTTTGTTGTGATGGTCATATGCACATAGGAAGAACCTGGAGTAAGGCTTAACTAGTTTCTGCCTCTGGTTGGACAACTCCCTTCATGTAAGAACCTTGCTCTAGTAGTTTCTGGTGGAATGCCAGGCCCAGAGGCACACATTTGAGCCTGTCTATAAGCCCTTGCCAGGCCTTTGATCCTGAACCTTTTAAAACAGTGCTTTCTAGGTAGACATGTTCTCTGGTAGGGTATAGAGCCACCCCAGGGATGAGTGAGCATCATAATGGTGACTGGTCAAGACATTGTCCTGCATCAGCCCAGATAAGGGAGGGTGGGGTGGGAACGGGACTGGTAGGGAACTGCTGGAGAGGTGTCCTAGTGTGCGTTGGGTGGGCTGGCTGGCTCCTCTGCAATGACAGTGGAGAGGGTAGAGATGCAGCCTCTTTTTTTTTTTTTAGTAATGGATGTGCCATCAGCGTTGTCGCCTTTGAACACTAGCTGTGTGTGTGAAGGACTGCTTTCCTCTACAGAAGCAAGTGTTGAACACTATTCTCGAGCCAGAAAGCCTTGGTGCTAGGCAGTGATACACATAACTAAAAGCATTTTAAATAGAGCTGCCTGAAAGGTGGTGTAAATGCCCTTAGTGTGCACACGGGCAAAATCCAGGTGTTGGTGATCCTTTTATCTCATTGTCCACTTGCCTTTATGACCTTGAGTCAACCTATGGACCAGAACATCCACTTCACTGTTCCTGCTGAAGAAATGGGGGATTTGGTGTGTGATCATGACAACGAATATCCCTTCTAACAGAGAAAGTGTTTATTGCTTGTGACTCAGCTGTATTAAAGGGTTTGGAGAGCATGTGGCTTGGTGTGTATTTGCAGAACTGAATGCGGTTGATTTTGGTGACTAGAAAGCACACCAGCCTTTTAGGTTAGCGTTCTTTTGGAAAAGCTGTGTGCCCTCACCCGCCCCTACCCCTCAAAAGCCCATTACTCCTCGACTTCCAGTGTGGAAAGTATCCAAATTCCAAGTTACGAAGTTCTGCCTTAATGCCAGTAGGTGAGGGCTTCTGTGTAGTCTGGGGTGGGGGCGGTGTCTGGCAGCCAGAGTGATCGTAGCTATTAGACTGCTGTCTCTAAAAGGGACCGTGTTTCCTGGTGACCGAGACACTACATACTTGATGACAATGCCTAGTCACTGTTGAAAGTCTGGACCATAACAACTCAGCATTTTTGAAATATTTAAAAAAACTTCTATAGCTCAACTTGATGGATTTATTTACAAAATCACACTAAGCACTTTCTTTTTCTGCTCTGGAACGCAAGAATTGTGTAATTTTACTGTGTGGGGGTGGTGGTGGGACACACAAAAAGTTAGAGTGAAGGCATTGTGAAATGAACCTTTTAAGGCCATTTTAGTACATTAGGATCCTGGCAGCATGGTGAGGCTTCATGCAAAAACTGCCGAGAGTCAAATTTTACCAAGAAGCAGGGGGGCTGGAAGGTGAGAGTTGACCCTGGAGGATGGTTTAGCAGGCCTTCATTAGGGGGACGGGTAGGTGGGCCTGGCATGTGCAGGTGTGATCCGAACGTAGTGGAGACGGACCTGCTGGGCCTCGCTGAGGTACAGGCTATGTTGCAGACTTTGAGTTCACCTCAAAGCAGTTTAGGGGATGACAGTTAACCCCTGAGGGATAAAGCCTTGCGGAGGCTAGGGTTGGCACAGTCTGCTGGCAATGCTGTCCGGATCACATTCCTTAAGGCCCTCGGTTTCCTGTGTTAGGGCTCCACTGGCAGAGTAACCCCTTTTCAGTCCCCACTCTCCTCTCTTGCCTTAGCCTCTCAAGTGCTGGAGTTGCTGAATGTATCACTGCCTATTAGTGCATGGTCATAGTAGAACAGCCCCCTTGCAACCATCTGTCATGGGGGGGCACTTGTGCTCCCATCATCTGGGTGACAGAATTGTGAGTTTGAGGTCAGCTTTGGACCCTGTGGAGGCTGGAAGGTTAAGGATTTGAATTAGAATAAACTGACAAGGCTGAGCTCATTGGAAGGAAGCTGGGGTTGTTTCACTAATTTGTTTTCATTCATTTTGTTTTTCAAATAACTTTCACGCTGATCCTCTTGTGTTCATCTATGGAATGCTTGGTTTACAGGTGTGTGCTTCCATGCCTGTTATTTAAAACAGACTCCAGTATGTAGATCCAGCTGCCTTGTCGTTTCCCCTGCCATCCCTCCCAAGTGCTCAGTGTCAGCGCCAGGATCAGACCCTGTCACTGATGGGTCTGGATCTTGTCTTGTTCCTGAGATAGCCCTGAGTAGCTCGAAGAGGCTGTAACTTCCAAGGCTGGGACCACAGGCATTTGCCTCTATGGCTTTGCTTTTCAAGAGTTTTGAGTTTCATGAAAAAACTTGTTTTTGACTTGATGTTACAACAGAATTTCCAGCACTTTTGGAATGATCCACGTCATGCTGTGTTTATGTAGAGTGTTGTGAACTAATTATAAAATTGGAATATTGACCAGCTGTGAAATTCTAAAGAGGCTCTGCAGGATCAGGTGATACCTAAAATTATATAATGTAAGAGCACATTCATCTCATTCATATGCACCTCATCGTTTTGAAATAAATGCCTTTATGATTTATTACCAGTAATGTTTAATTTGTCTTTCATGGACCCAGTACCTGGGATCATGTAGAAATTTCTTGGGTTAACAGGTTTGCCAGTGGGAAGTTAAGCTTCTAAGTAAACGTGACTCCTGCCTGCAGATTTGCCTCTGTTTCCTGCCAGCAGCACTGTCTTTTGCTGGGAGGGTGCAATGCAGTCTGGACACCTGCTTCCTCTCCTCCAGCTAAACCCCTTACCTCCATTCACAGACCTTGAATATTTTAAAATATTGAAACTGCCAAGTACAGAATCTTCACAGGTCAGGATAGCACCCTTGATAATTCTGCCTAGTGGGCTGTGATGGGGTGCAGCTATCGTTTCTGACTGGAACCGAGGCAGGAGGATTACCCCAAGTTTCAAGCCAGCAGTGAGACTGTCTCGATAAGATAAATTAAGAAAGGTTCACTTTAGGCTACTCTTGGGTCTCTCTGCCTTGCCTTCTCAGTGATTAGTGAGAAAAGGGGAAAGAGACTGGCCACTGATCGGCTGGGCAGATGAGGGAAGTGCTAGGCCACGGCTTTGCACACCTGACCTCGTGCTACTGGGAGAGGGGAAGGCAGAAGACATGGGTCTCCATGCAAGACATGGCCTCTCAGCGCCGGTGTGGGTGTGAAAGTTGTTCACATTGGAGAGTGTCCTTGCATGAGAATCTCATTGGGTTGGCCATGCACAGTGAAGCTGATTGTAACATAGTGTGGATGGGTTTCATCCAACCCAGTGAAGGCCTGCATAGAGAAAAAAAGAGGGCTCCCTAAGCCAGGCTGTACTGTTTAGAAGGCCCCACCGTCCTTTGGGCACTCGGATCTGGACCTGCATGAGTGAATGTCCCATGGGGTCTGTCTCTGGAAAACCTAGTGATTACAGTGTGTCCTGCTGGCAGCCATTTTTAAACCCTCTACGGAAATGACAAGCCTTTCTTACAACACATTCTTTGTGCTTTTGTGCCACCTAGTGTCACTTGTAGGAACTGCAGGCTGCTGGCCTTCCTGCCCCCTACCAGCACTTAGGGACACCTAAACACATAGTGGGCGTTCATATTTCGGTGCACCTTTTGTTTTTTATTCAGTTACCTAACAGAGCTTCCTACGCACAGGACGTTGCAGCAGACACACAGACGATTGGTCTGTGTCATCCTGTGTCCTATCCCGTTGTCCTGTCTTCTCCCCTCCAGCCCCTCCACACAGTTAGAGACAGAATAAAAGCTAATTCCAGCTGTGCAAGGACAGGGCCAGGACCGATGAGCAAAGGAGGTGATCCAGGATGGGGGACTGATAGGTGGTTCCCGATGCTTGTTTGCTGTGTTCCAGGCTGTGAGCTTGGGACTGGCCATACCCCTGGGCAAAAGCATCTTTCTAAGGGGCAGCCCTGCACTCATAAGCTTCAAACAAGGGACAAAGGTCTGATGTTTTAGAAGGCGGGGTGTGGGGGGAGGTGACCAGACCCTGCTGTACCAGGCAGGAGGGCTGCCCCTCTGCCCCTGTCTGAGAATGACCAGGAGGAAGAGGAGAGCTGGTTTGTGAATGGTAAAGTGGCGTGGGAGGACCGTGTCTAGTTTCCCTGTGTTCCCTGCCCCGCACTTACCAGGACAGGCTGCCAAGGGAAGGGGAAGGCTGGGATGGGACTGGCCTAGGAAGTAATCTGTGTTTGGGATAAAGCTATCCAGCAGTTGTCCAGTCTCAGAAGGGCTGAACTAGGGCAGATAAAATGCAGGAATTCAGATGGATGGTGGGGTTAGGATCTGAAGCAGAACCAACTGAGTCCACCTCACGCAAGGCATCAGGCGCTGGGTAGATCCACCCCCTTTCCTGGTGGTACTTCAAGGTAAAGGAGCTGGAAACAATGTCACAGGCTACAGAGGTCACAGAAGAGGTGGGTGCTAAGGGGCAGGCCAATTGGCTTGAGGTCCTCCGTGCCGGTGGGGTAGGCTACTCTTTTTACCTGTCCCTCTTCAAGATGGCCTTCCCTACAGTCAACCGCTAAAGTCACTATAAGAGCTTGCTATTTGCCTCTTGGACTCAGTTTCTTTACCACAAAATGGAGTTTCCTATATTTATTTTTGAGACTTCTGTAGCTCGGACTAGTCTTGAACTTGCCATGTGGAAGAGAGGATGGCTTTAGACTTCTGTTTCTCTTGCCTCTCCTTCCCGACTGTTCTAGCTTATTAACCAAGCCTTGTGTCCTAGGCTCTACTCCTGAGTTATATCCCCAGCCAGGGTGCTGCTTTCTTGCCATCCAAGGGGGGTGGGACCATATCTGTCCTCTGGTCCATTGCAGATGAAACACATCAGGCAGATGGAAATCAGGGTCTGGGGCCATGCTGCAACTTCCTGAATCCAACACAGAATGCAAGTACCATGAGTGTAGCAGCACAGAGGAGGAGCTGGGGAGGACTGTCCCTCTTCAGGGAACCACAGAACTAGGGCATTCACGACAGGCCTGGCCTTCGGTGTGGAGACTTCTTGGTTTCTAGGGACTCTGACCAGCTAAGCTGGGCTGAGCAGGCAACATCCTCCAGCCAGTGCTAGGGTGCTCCTGAGTAAAACCAAGAGTCCACACCCAGCCTTCCTGCTGGGACTTCCTGAGTCTGCAGATTCTTACCCCCTCTCAGCTTCTGACAGCTTCTAATGTTTGGGCTTGGGAGTAGCCCTTTATTAAAGGACAGCAGAGTCCCAGGTGGCTGCCCTCACCCCACTTCTGCCTCTTGGCTTCGTTTTCTTGCCTCATCTTTCCACATAATTCATTTAGACATTTAAAAGTTTCCCAGCATGCTCTGAGTTGCCACAAACACTGCCATTGTGTGCAGGGCTCTGGAATGCTAAGAATCCCAGGGCACCGTAACATGGGTCATGGCCTTTGTGGTGGTTGGTGGCTGAGCAAGGCCCAGAAGCTGCTGGCTTCATATGGTGTGTGTGTGTAGTTGCATCATGAGTGCTGGTGTGTCCCGCTCTCCCTGGCTTCCTCAAATTATCCTTGCACCAGGCACTCCCATCCGTTCTCCCAGAATCATTAACACCATCTATTTAAGGAACATCTCTTGGCCCCCACTGTGTGTGACAGGCAGGGTTTGTCAGGAGATGTCAGAGAAGACAAAGCTTGGTGTATTTGATCTGCAGCCGCAAGGGTGTGTTGTGGTTTAATAAAAAGCTGAACAGCCAGTAGCTAGGCAGGATTTCCAGGCACAGGATGCGGAGAAGGAGTCATGAGGAACCAGATCCATCAGGATGGGCACTACGGAGATGAGGTAATAAGGAGACAGAAGGTAAGTTAACAAAAATGGGTTAAATTTAGCTAGCTATCTAGAAACAAGCCCACCCTAGGGCCAAACTTTCACAAGTCTCCATGTCGTGATTTGGGAGCTGGCTGGCGGGACAAAGGCTCTCAGTGAGGTGTGCTTTTTTACTTCTTATGCAGAAACATGGAGTCCATTTCCTCAAGATTCCATGCCCAGCATGTTCAGCCATTGAAGTTTTCCAAGTACATGGTGGGCCCACAGACAAGCTGATTGGTTCTGTATTCAGTGGGTTTCACCGCTGCAGTCTAGGACTTGAGCCTGGGCTACTGGATCCCTCCAAATGCTCTGCCGCCTTCTGCATCCTTCCTTTAAAAGGACACTTAATGCATGTGCAGGCACACTTAGAGGTCCTCTGGAACTGGAGGTACAGGCAATTGTGAGCCTCCTGATGTAGGTGCTGGGAACCTGGTTCTCCCTAGGATCAGGAAGTGCACCTAACAACTGGGTCACCTCTCTTGTAGGGTAAAAGGGACAACTGGAGCAGGAAACCAACCAATCACTGAGCACCCTGGCTCTGAACCCAGAGCCAGTGAAAGAAACACCCTGTATTTGAGACCTGGGCCAGGGAGAGAAAGATCTTTATCCCTGAACCCAGAACTAAAGACATGTGCCCTGGCTCTGAAACTAGTGTCCAAGAAACACACTTTGCCCCTAGAGTTGGGGCCAGTGAAAGAAATATGTCCTGGTCCTAAGATTAGAGTAAAAGGCTAAAAAGGACCAGTAAAAGAAACACAGTTTGACCATGAGGTCAGAGCCATCTCTGCCCCTGACCAATCCCCCTTCTCCCTGGGAAAACTCCGCCCCTAAGAAACCCTATATAAGCCTCTCCACCCCTTCAGTTAAGAGTTGCAGTTAATCCCTCCCTGGCAGAGGCAGCCACCCTCTTGAATTTCTTCCCAAATCTCTTTCTCAAGAGTCTTGGGTGAGAACCTGGCTGGGACATCCTTTAGGGGACCGAGCTGAAAAACCTTGCTGAGATGATCCCTAGTGGGAGCCTCAGCAAGGTGGAGCAGAACAGAAGAACCTTGCTAGGACGCCTGAGCTGGACCATTGCTACATTTCTGCAGGGGCTTCTCTTTAGCAGAGAGTTAGCAGAAGAAATATCTTGGGCCGGAGAAGAAGCAGATAACTCTGCTAGGATGCTCCCCAAAGGAACAGAGCAGAACTCAGCTGTAGCAGCTCTCCAGGAGAAGAGCAGGATCCCTATATCCTGTGGGGAGACCATCCCCCACCGCACACCAGCTTCAGGTAGCCTGGCTTCCCGATTCCGGACACCTTTCCTCCAGGGCTGAGCCGTCCCATTGCAGCTCCAGCCTCTAGAGCTGTCCTGTCACGCTCTGAGTGTATCCTGGCTTCCCGATAAGTCGGGATATCCCAACACCACTACTGTACCGCATTCCCCTACATCTCTAGCCCTTTTTTCTTTCTGGGATAGTATTGGCCTCAAGCTTGCCATATAGCTAAGGATCACATTGAATTAATTCTCCTGTCTCATATCCACGTGCCGGGGTCACAGCATGGGTGCTCCCCCTTTGCTTTAGAGGGCGCCAGATTTGACAAGGTCCTTCTGTTGGACAAGATTCTATTGACCTTGCTTTTATTAGCTGCTCCCCACATGTGGTAAAAAGGGAAAAGCTCAGGGGAGGTATAGTTACTGATCTTATTTGGCCTCACGAAGACATGAA